GATCTCTTCCTTACTTTCACACTAGCTGTCCGTCATTCGTTTGTCAACTTCATCAGCATTCTGATCCTTACTCGCCGTCCTCCTTTGTTCTCCGACACTGCGCAACAGGCCCCCGTATTCAGCCCTGCGCATCCAACCATTGCTGCTCCTCCCACCTCCTCACCGACGCTTCGGCACAGCGCAGTGCCCTTCACATCATGGCTATAGGGCCATTGCGATATCTTCTGTTCGCCATCACGGTGAGTGTATCTGGCCCGCCACAGGACCCCTTTCGCATGACTGACTGGCTTCAAGGGGTTGGCCGTCTTCTTTTTCATCTCTAGGAGCGCTATCCCAATCCCCGAGAACATCGGCACGAAGTTGAATCCCGCGACCTACAAAGACACCTTTTCCTCCTCTCACTCCTCGCAAAACGATGCGCTGTCATCAAGTGGACCGATCAAAGACATCCCGACGGATCGCGTGAACGCCACCTTCGTGACCCTCGCTCGCAACACTGATCTTTGGGAGATGGTCAAGTCCATCCGGACGGTGGAAGACCGCTTTAACCACAACTATCACTACGATTGGGTGTTTTTGAACGACAAGCCCTTCGATGACGAGTTCAAGAAGGTCACGTCAGCCTTGATCTCCGGCAATACGTTCTATGGCGTGATTCCGAAGGAACATTGGTCATATCCCGAGTGGATCGACCAGGATAAGGCGAAGAAGGTCCGACAGGAAATGGGAGAGAAGAAGATCATCTACGGCGACTCGGAGAGCTACCGTCACATGTGCCGTTATGAATCCGGATTCTTCTTCCGGCACCCGCTGATGCTGAACTATGAGTACTACTGGCGCGTGGAGCCCAGCATTGAGCTCTTCTGTGATGTCAGCTTTGACCCGTTCCGCTACGTGAAAGAGAACGACAAAAAGTACAGCTTCGTGCTGAGTCTGTACGAGTACTACGACACCATTCCGAGCCTGTGGGGTACGGTGCAAAAGTTCATGGAGGAGCACCCGGAGCATATCGCGGACGGCAACTCTATGAGTTTCTTGAGTGACGACGGCGGCAAGACTTACAACAAGTGTCACTTTGTGAGTATTGCCCCTTGCACCTCTCCGCTAGCTGAACTAACCGGTTTGTAGTGGTCCAACTTTGAGATTGGAAGTTTGGAATGGCTGCGGTCCAAGGAATACATTGACTACTTTGAGACGCTTGACCACGCTGGTGGCTTCTTCTACGAGCGTTGGGGAGATGCTCCGGTGCACTCTATTGCCGCGGGACTTCTCTTGAAGAAGGAGCAGATCCACTTCTTCAACGAAATTGGCTACTACCATGTCCCCTTCACCCACTGCCCGACTGGCGAGCAGCTAAGGCTGGACTTGAAGTGCCACTGCAACCCCAAGGACAACTTTGACTGGAAGGGATACTCTTGTAAGTTGCCCTCTTTCCTTCCGTTGGGGCATCATAACTAACGAGCAACGTACAGGCACGTCCCGGTTCTTCCAAACCAACGACATGGACAAGCCCAAGGGCTACGAGAATGAGAGCTAAGGGGCTCATGACTGAATTTATCACTCAAAAAGTAAATGCAAATTCTGTTGTTGCGCAGCGGAAGATTGGCCGTGCATGTGATCAGCAAAGTCGGACATCTGTTGACCAAGCACGGTGGAGTGGCATTGTCCAGGCATAAACCTTCCACTAACGGGACGCTTCCCAGCTCATTACTTAACCATTTCCAACCATCCTGCTGAATGCTGGGCGCAGGTTCACACCATTTGAAAAATATTCTTCATTTCTTGATTTCCGGACGAGGGTGTCATTGTTTATAAGATTGTCGGGAACTTCACTTCACAAGCGCGCATCATTTTTCTCTATATTCAGGGTATAGGGGGTTGCAAGGTACAGAGATCGTTTGCAGGATGTACTGGATGGAGTCGGGATGAAATGGGAAAGGAAAATAACTGCTCTGTAGCCAGGCAAGCCTCATAAATGTACATAGCCGTGTTCTAATGATAACAACGATATAAAGATCCGTCAAAGCACGATGTAATGATACAAACAATACCAAAAAATATAATCAAGCACAAGCAACATCCCTCATACCCAACTAATCCTTCTTAGGCTTCTTCGTACCATACTTCGACCGACTGTTCAACCGAGAAGCAACACCACCCTGAAAGAAGTTAGCCAATTCCACTCCAATTTCCCAATACAACCCCAATCGCAGAAGGTAAAACTTACCAAATCCATCGCACCACGAACCAAGTGGTACTTCACACCAGGACAATCAGGCACACGACCACCACGCACCATAACGACACTGTGCTGCTGGATATTGTGACCTACACACATAAATAAATTAGCCTCATTTATCCAATTCCATTGTTTCCCATATACTCTCATTCTCTTCCACCCCCAATCCCCAACCCAATCCCACAAAGACCAAAGCGGAGAGGAAAAGTGAACTCACCTTCACCAGGAATATAAGCCGTAACAACCTTCCCACTACTCAACCTAACTCTCGCTGTCTTCCGCTCACCAGAGTTGGGCTTCTTGGGCTTCGTAATACCCGTCTTCAAACACACTCCCTTCATCTGAGACCGGCCGATCAGCGCCGGAGACCGAGAGCGACGTGCGCGCTGCGCAGTACGACATCCGCGCCGCACTTGGTTGTAGGTAGCCTGGCGGAACGGGGAGGTGGAGAATTGCCGGAGAATGGAGGAAGAAGAGGATGTGACGGAGGTCTTGCTCGCAGCAGCAGCAGCAACTGCGGTGGGCGTGCGGAGGACGGGCTGGAAAGGTCGTCGGGGAGCAGCGAGGGTGGTGATGGAGCAGGAGGTAGTGGATTTGATAGCGGCGGGACGCTGGACAAGAGTCCGGAGCGTGCGCAGGGCGAGGGAGGAGACAAGGGGCGCCATCTTAAATATTATCTCCTCGGCGATGTTCTGTGCTTTGGCCTGGGGGCTTCCGTATATTGGCTATCGGGATGGGAAACATTTCCTGGACGGGCTGAGAGAGATTGTATCACGTGACGGGTGAAAGATGGCGGAGGTGGTGGGTGTGGTGCGCCGGAGGAGCTTGCTGCGGGAACGCGCCAGTGGACTGGCTGCCTGGCTGCGATGTCAGAGCTGCGGTGCTTGCTGAGTGCTACGTCGGTTACCTCTACTTACTGACTGCTTAACTATCCTCCTCCGACTTTCAACCTCCATCTCACGAACAACCACGCTCATCTAAACCTTTCGATTTACCCTACCATCTCTTAATCTCACATACCACTTTACAAAAAAACTCCCATCACAACCGTCACAATGGTCCGTCCATTCATCTACTCACAACCTCCCCGATAACCCTCACCACCCCAACCCTCAGTCGTACCGAGCAAATGATTAACAAAAGAATAGTCCCTCCGCATCGCCCCTCCCTCCAGCAACCCAACCCAAACAACCAACACGACCACCCGCGCCGTCATCGACCTCCCCCACCCCTCCAAGGGCGCCCCCTCAGCCCCCGGTCTCCCCGACACCCTCCGCGACAACATCACTCTTCAAGCACCCCGGGGCCCTCCCTCCACAGCGACCACCACCCCATCCTCGACGCACCCGCTCGAAGCCCGCCTCCTCGCGTGGCGCGCCACCCAAGATGCATTGAAGATGGAGTCGCTGCGTCGGGCGTACGGTATCGCGGAGCCCGTGCGCCGCGGCATGGAGTTGAAGATCGTGCGGGATGGGACGTTCAGGCCTGCTGCATTGGGTGGTCTCGGAATGGGAAACCTTCATGAGGATATTTTGGTCCTTGGTGGTAGGGATGCTGAGGTGGGTTGGGAGGATGTGTTCAAGGGTGAGTTTTACCTTCTTCCATGTTTTGGCGAAGGAGGTTGTGTGTTTTGCTAACGTGTGGGGGTTTAGGTGATGAGTTCCGTGAACCGCCTGCTTTCCATGATGAGATGGAGAAAAGATTGCGTATGGATCACTGAGTGGGTGGTAGTGGCAGTTCTTAGTCTGGTCTGGACATGACATGGCATGGCATGGCTTCACTTAACTCAGGTTGGCTGTTGAATGGGTTGTTATGAATCGGATTTTAAGTTTGTTTCTTATATTATTAAGTTCTTGATACAGGCGCTGTCTGCGGTAAACTATACAATACAATAAATGGTGGTTTCATCTACTCGAAGACTTTGAATAAACCTACGTTGGTTGAAAGGAAAGTACTACAGGTTGGATAGCTACCATATGTGCAATCTTTGTACATTATGTAGTTTCCGCTGGCCTCAAACCAAGGAAACGCTATATTTGACATCAACCTGTGGGTCGCACAAGCCCCGTATCTCAAACTAGATTCAATCAGATGGCTGGCCAGATCGGAAGAGGGCCACCAGGGTCTTCCGTGAGCACTGCAAATTCGTCGGTCCAAGCCCTAACGCAACAGAAACACAGCAGAACGGCAAAGGACCATGTAAGCAATTGCAAGAGATAGGCTTCCAATATGTGAACATAAATGCAACAAATTTGAGACCGGCCAACGAGACAACACAGGGGGCGGGAGAGCAAGCGAGAACATGAGCTTTAGGGTATATACGAAATAAGCGGAAGCGGAGCAGCATCAAGCAACTCATGGAACTATGCAAGCCAAACGGTGACCACTTGGTAGAACAGACAACTGGGTAAATGTCAATGCGGCGATGCTGGTAAAGCGATGATAACCCATCCATAACGCCGTCTCATTACGGTCAGACAGCCAACCACATGCAATGTCTTGCGGCAAAAAAGGCGAACAAGCGTGAGGGAGGACCAAAGCCTACTCGAACCCAGCCGAGAGAAGCAACAAGGCTCCAATAAGGGGTCTAGAAGAAAGCTCGTATCGACGAATCTTCAAGTAGCACAAGCAAGTGAGCTTGGCGTTGGTATCTGGGAGGGCAAAGCGATAATGGCAGTTCCCGAGGACGCAAGCAAGGGAGGGCTGCCTTAAGTATATGACTTCTGTCGTCTCCTTTCTCGGGCGGAAACCGTGCTATTCATTATTGGATGATGCAGCGACAGCCAGGGCTACGCTCACTGGACTCCCGCTCCCGGGTGTACTGGGGTTTGGACTTGGCGTCTTCTTCGTCAACGATCTCCTGGGGCTTCACAGTCATGTGAACCACATTGGGAGCATCCCGGCTGAACTTAGAGTCTAGATGATAGTAGATCAGCACCAGCACCAGAAAAGCGGTAGAAGTGATAGATACCTGATAATGGAGCTTTGTCATCAAGCAGCTTGCCGAATGAGATGAGTCGGATGGAGCTGGGCGATGATGGCCGCGGCTCCCAGTCTGCCAGGAATCATATGTTAGCCACCCGCGACTTCCGAGACAACCTTGGCTATTGCACGCATACCTTGGCGCCATTCCCGCCAGATCAATTCCTTCAACGTGTATACACTCATGGCGAACGGATCGTAATTCTCTACATTGACCGACCGTTTCCGTAGATACTTTCCATCGATCTTGAACGGGTGTCGGGAGCCTGTTATCAAGAGCAGGGTGATCACTAAGGACGGGCCCGTGTCCTCCTCCTCTTTGGCAGCCTCATCTGATCCCTGGGACGATGGCTCGGAGCCAGCTGCCGGAGCCTTCGCCTCATCGTGTTGTTCAGGAGATGCGCTTGCAGATGGAGCCGCATCTACAGGGTTCTGCTTGGGAACGGGTGCTGACGTATTGTCCTCATTATTGTCTGTGGGCTTCACATCCCCCGAACTGGGCTCTTGGCTCTCGGCCTGGGCGTTATCGGGATGAGGGGCGGCACTAGGAAGCTCCTGGGTTTCTGACGACGGCACGGCAATGGTTGTGGACTGCGAAGTCAGGTTGGAGTCGGAGGTGGGCGACATGGGGTCAACTTTGGGGTCTTCGGTGACCGACATGGTTTGTTCTGACACACCTCGTGAAGCCGCACGAGTCAGATAGCGCGAGGGGAAGAAAGGAAGGCTAAGCTAGCAGGTCGAAATCGATGAAAACTTTAAAAGAGAGAATAGATCGCAGCGAAAATTCCGTTGGGGATAGCTGAACCGATATGGGAGTTGACTGATGAGGGTAAAAGGGGGGGAGGCGAATCAGGCTGGGGATTGAAGACAGGAGCGGATGAAGCAAGGCGATGCGCGCACGGAGGAGGGAAAGGAGGGCAGGCTGAGAGAGGGTGCTAAATTAGGTAGGCGAGGAGGAATTTCCAAGGGTGGCCCGAACAAGAGACTAGAACCTTGATCGGGGATGGGTGAAGGGGGCCATGCGACCCGAAGGAGACCAGCGAGAGCGAAAAGGGGACGGCGTTGAGTAGTGAGGAGACGAGGGACCACGAAGGCGATCGGGCGGGCCCACGAGTGGAGGAGAAGGAGGAGAAGGAGGAGGAGAGGATTGATTATACCCTGTGTGTAAGGCTGAAAGGGAGACTAAAAAAGGTTTGTGGCAATGAAGAAGATGGGGAATGTATAAAGAATGGGAGAGGGGGAGGCAAAGGGGAGGGGGGAAGAGGAAAGAAGTAAGTAGGAGAAGGGGACAAAAAGACTGGATTGATTGATTGATTGATGGATGGGGATGGACAGGGAAAGGGAGAGAGAGGAGAGACAAGACAAGCCCAGACAGACAGACAGAGAGGTCCAAGCCAGTCACTGCTGAGGGGAGCCCCGATCTGGTTGGTTGTTCCCCCGGGCGTCACCTCGGATCGGTGGGCCACCGCCCATAATTAACGGCCCTTTCTACTTACTCTTCCTTCATCCTTCTCCCTCTTCTTTCTCTCTTCCCCTTCCGGTTCATCTCAATCATCGTTCGTCACTTGAACTTGGCTTTGCATGCAGGTAATTCTTTGGGCGTCAGCATCGGCTTGAATGGACGGAATGAGAATCAATTCCCGCGTGCAGCTGAGGCCTTGGTGGCAGCGGATCCTGGTCGCTTCCGGACATATCTGCGTCATTAGCAGGTCGTGACACCTGTCATGCTGGACATCAACTGTTGACTCCATGGAAGCTGTTCGATGAAACTTCTACACATGGCTTAGATCTTTACGCTTAGCTTAGGGAGATAAGTAACTTCCAGACAGTTCATGTTGTTGACTGGCCCCAAGACATGCACGCGGGAGATAAAAGATGTTCATTCATCAGATGATAGGTTCTATCTAATCAGTACAGAATGAATGCACCACTCCGACCATATGCCCCTTACACACTATACATGGTGCATTAGCGCTCTACACTAGAGTATGCCGCCTTGCTAAGGCTGTCGATTGAGGGGTTGCACCTGCTCAAGTGATTGTGTTTCACACCACCCTGCATACAACCACCTTTCGAAGGAGAACGACGAACTATCCTAAAAAGACCTCGAGCGCATCGACAAATTGATATCCGTGCGCTACTATGGTGCTCTTGAGGTAGACAAGCAATGACAAATTATTGCACATCAGCGATGATCGTCACTTTACTTTGCGCGAACACGTGCTGACGTGACTTGACATCTATGCAAGGTCTTTAGACCAAGTGTTGGCCACGTCGGGACATTCAGCGGGGTCAGTCACTCGTAGCAGAGCTAAATAACTAATGTAAAGCTATGCAATAGAAATATGCCTGAAAAAGGCATGCTACGACGGCGCAGTCGATTTGTCTGATTGCCAAGCAACTGAGACATACTGCAGTCTAGAAGAGATCGCCAACACTCTAATCACGATACTAGCTCTGAGAGCTTTGCAAAACCCTATTTTATTTCCTAGACCTTTCCATGACTAATCTTGCAGAAACCTAGAAGTAAGAGGTTCAACTGCCTGCTTCGTCAGCTACGAATGAGATATGCGACAGTGGAACTAGCTAGTCACTCTTGTCCACAGGACGATAGGACTTCCTCAGTACCATGTTAAGGTCAGCAACCTGTGCTTCTCGAAATTGCACCCAATATTCGAGTGATAGATCTTCCACCTAACAAGGAATATCACGACTGGAAGGAGTCTATCACACTCGTCAGTCTTTACTATATTCAGAGGCAATGGATACTATAGACAAAACATTTCGGTTACAAAATACTACGTTTGAAAAAGTAGCTGTCATCCATCTCCTGGAGCTGTTCTACAACCAGAAGCGGTTGGCTTTGCTTTCATGAGTGAAATGGACCCCGTTGCCTTAGGCCATTAATTATAAGTGGGTCGCTGATCAATCCACAGTCATATTCCAGCTTCGAGAACTATTCTAGATCACATGCCACCAGTTGTTTGTCATCGAATATCCCGTCGCGTACATTTGAGAGAAAGGTCCAGCCTCAATGGCGCTAGAACTTTGTTCTGATTCTTTCAAGCTCCCACGGCCTAGGCCTCTACTTGACCACTATATGAATAACGCGCTGGCACGTCAATAGTGACTGTTTTCGCCAGTTGGGTCTCGCTTGGTATACGTTGACTACCAGAGCTATCTGGACACAGGATAGCGACGATGCTTCATGTCTCGTTTCGGAATCTTTCACGGCTAAGTTTTATGAACTGAACTGAAAATGTGTCCTCGCAGTTGCTCCATATTCCCTGATTGTCGGCCATATAGTGTCGCAGCCGTCGCACCGTCATACATTGATGCTTGGATATTCTAGTGCTAACTTCCCCAGAGTAACGATGGCTCTCATGGCTGTTAACTATTGACCATAAGCTACCATCTCCTGTGTGTGTATGCGTGAATGCTTGAAGACATCCCTCAAGGGACTCTCGTACTTTCCTACTACGGGTCTGGTTCAAGAGCTGAATAGGACCATCATAGTGATACCATGATTACTCGCATGGTAGTCGGCGCAGATTGGGGAAAGATATAATCTTGACCAGAGATTTTGGTGATTTGTTTCAAGACAGCTTTGTGCTCTCGTATACTCTTTGCCATGGCAGCGCAGATCCGCAAATGATGCCATACAATGCAGCGCCATGAAATCTCCGCCACGGCGGGACTACCTCCAGGGATTGTCCAATGTATTATGGCTACACTTCCCAATATCACCAACTAAGTTTCGCCTCCTATTTCCCGCATAGGAATTGTCGAGTCGTCCAAGGTTCGGTAGTCAAACGATGGTGTTTCGCCCATGGCAGTGGGAATCATGCCAAGGACCCTTAGAGGCGTAAGAGAGTCTATATTGTAGCCATAAATAACAGTTTCTTAGATGTAGTATGTGTAGGTGCAAAGATTTCGATACAATGGACGCAATGTATAGCTTCAGGAAAGGGTTCTGTCATCTGGGAAGAACTGGCGATTCCTTGAATTATCCTTCTGAGTGGAAAGAGTTTCTTGTCGCATTTGAATTGAAATTAACTCTCTGGAACGAGTAATATTAGATATGTAGTATGTAGATGACTTTCTGAAGGTTGAGCACGCGTACTAGGAATGTGGACAACTACGTTAGTACCCACATATAAGAAAGGGAGAAGTGTGTAAGACATTGTATCAAATTTGAATCATTACAATAGGCGAACGAGGCAAGAGGGATCAATTCGGCCTGGAATGACTAATGCGTAGTCGCGTCTTTGTGAGAGTATTTAGAGGGAAGGCAGATACAAGCATAGTGCGTTGCTGTTTATCTCATTGTCATCCGTCATCCGCCATCCGCACCTCCCCACCTCACTCACTGCCACTCGACTGAATCATGCTAAAATCATCAGAAAGCAGCATGGTTTGAGCGGTATGTCTATCTTCTCAAATTTTCGGTCTTGGTGGGGCATCATCTACATTCCGCAACATAATTTCTGTACGAGCCATCTATATCCGAAGGGCTCGTGGTCACGCCACACCGATAGTGGCACAATCGACCAACTAGCTTGGTTAATTAGCTTGATAAACTACAATCCTCTTTAACATAAAATATCAGATCGATTATAGTGAGCCAATTTGAGGATTCCAGAGCAAAAGTCTTGACGATTTGACATCATGATCGCTCGATGAAGGGGCTTCATATCGGTGAATGTGTAACTGGATGATCGACGAACTTTTGCATGTTTGCTTGACCCATTACCCATAGGTATCCGAATTAACTAGCAGTCTTATCCCATCTAGACTATCTCTCTGCTATTGTTATTGTGAAACTTGGTGCTAATTCGAGAACAGCCCGGCGATCCGTCGTCTCCTGATCGCCTAGGATTCTTGAAGATGCCAGGTCACCAAGAACATGTCCACGTGGACAAACAACCACCATGCCATGGTCCAGGATTCAAACATGGCTTTATGCCTCGCATTTGCAAGTAGCATTTGGTGGACTCGAATAGCGGTATCCGTGGTATCTTTCCTGCCATGTTCTCGCCCGGTGACCGGCCTTGACAGTGTGACATCATTCTTGCCTGGATGTGCGTCAATGGTGTCCACGCCCAACAAAGACTCGTCTGAACTTGACCCAACATTTTGACCGTGAAGAAAAGAGGGGCGTCGTGAGGCTGGAAGGTAAATCATTCAAGTCCGGTTTAACCTCGAGGGGTAGCCTACCCCTCTGAAGCATTCCTCTCACCGAGGCATCCCTGAAAAGGTTTAGTTAACTGGATTGGGATAGAGAACAAGTAGACAGCAGCCCTTGCTGTCACACAACCCGGACCTGATACGGATATGCAGTGGCCCAGACCCAAAACTTCCCTGATGTAATTAGCTGTTTACGAAGCATGATCTGGATTTAAGTCATATGGCCACCCTACTGCAGGCCTGATTCCATATAAATGGCCTTGCCCCGTCACCCTAATCCTCAAACAGCGCCCCCTAACTCACTTATGCTGATCACCCGGGAAGGCTTAATCTTTCCTAGAGATGCTTCGACAGTCCTTCTCAATCGCAAAAAAGGCGACTCGGAAGCTCTACACTCATGATGACTCCAGTGACCTGAGCCTGGACTTGAACATCACAGAACCAGCGGTATTTGTGCCTACGTTTACGAACAAGCCGGCTGTCCTTCGGGGTACCTGCCAGTTAAGATTGAAAAACGATCTGACGGTAAAAAGGTTGACTGTGAATTTTCGTGGGACTAGTCGTGTGACATGGCCGCATGGTGAGGCTAACGTCTTGCTTGTAGGACCATCTGTCTTCGAAACTAATTCATGACGATCTCTCGCAGGGCTTCATGACACCCAAACCGTGACCGATAGCACGTTGACCTTGGTTAGCCCACAGGCCTCGGATCCCGCACTTCCCTGCTATTCAAGCGTTCTGTCCGAGGGAAGAAAGTCCACATGGCAGAGGGATAAACGCAAGCTGCGGAATGCAGCTCCGTCCACGTTATGTGTGGACGGAGCCTATGGGAAGGCAGCAGAGTCAAAATACCAACGCCTACCCGCTGGAACCCACACGTACGAATTTGATATGGTGTTACATTCTCATCTACCAGAGTCAATCGAGATTCGACAGTCCCATGTCCAGTACCGGGTTCGCGCGTGCGTCGAGTGCCCCGGCTTTCTCAGGCGCAGCTTTGCAAAAAAGCAGGCTATTGCTACGGTTCACTGTCCAGCTGAAGACGATGTGGAAGACGCTGAACCAGCATACATTGCGCGGGCTTGGAAAGGGCTGCTTCAATGTGGAATCCTCGTTTCGAGGCGAGGCGCTCCCCTCGGCGACCGGCTGCCTGTTACAGTATCCCTTACGGAATCGAGGAGATCCGAGTTCCGGGGCCTGCAGGTTTTTCTCTCGGAGAACGTCCAATATCACCAAAAGGATGGACTTGCATGCTGCCCGGGTCCTTTTAGACGCGTTATATTATATGAAAAAGTGGAGAAGGCTGGGCCCACTATGTCGCTCCACCGGGCCGAGAATGTTGATGATGAGCGGCCAGAATCGGCTGCGAAGGATAACGGAGCACTTGCGAAGTTGGTCGGGGATCCCGAGGTACCTAGTGGACTAGAGGCTGCCGAACAGGAGACTGTGATGGACCTTACCTTGCAACTTCCAGATTGCCATTTACATTGTGTATCGACTGGAACGCAAGGCATGCACTACGACACCAAGTATAAGAATGTGAGGGTGAGCCACTGGCTGGAGGTAAGGCCACAAAACTTGGGAGAATGACTCGAAACGGAAAGCAAAAGGAAAATCAAACTAACGAAGAGCGTGCAGTTTGTTTTTATGGTGTCCCCAAGGGATAATACCCTCGGTTCAAGCAGCGAGCGCATTGTGCAAAAAGTGGCGAAGGTCCCACTCGCACTTCGGTCCTGTTATGCTCAGCATACCAATGCTTCTCTGCCAGCGTATGGTGATGCCTAGGAATTCCGCTGTGGCCGATAGGTTCGGTTCGTCCACACACAAACGAGTACGACCAGCAGCAGCACCACACCACCACACACCATCATCTCCACCCCCTCCGCCCAGGAATGATTATAAAGATAAGCATTAATAAAAATGGGGTAGGCCGCTGGTCGTACCACTGGTCCGAATGCCGCGGGAGGTCGGGAAAGCTTCGGTGGCACCGTCGATTGGCGACCGTTCCCGGTGGCGATCTCCAGCCGTGTTCAAGCCTACCCGCGGCCGTGGCCTGCATCACAGTCTACCGAGATCCACCTTCCGTCTGTGAGTGGATGGTTGAAAACTCTTCAGAGAGGTTAAACGCTTCCAGGGACAAGGGAGGCCCATTATGTCCAGAAGACCCACGCTAAACCTGCCCTTGCACGGGCCTTGCCTCCACTAAGTGGGGACCTAGTGAACCCTGTGTGGGCCATCCGGTTTATCAGGCGCCATGAAGTTGCATCACTCGCTGCGCTTTCCGACGATCATCCACTTCGGAATGCATCATCCTCACATCATCGCGCAACCTGCCCCGAAACCATCGTGCTGCTCACCGAAGATCCTGTCGTGGACAGTTGGCGGTTGCCCATTCGCACCACTGGCCTGTGATGTCAGTCGCAGGTCCATACCCATGGGTGAATCCGCTGCGATGTGGAGGGCTAAGACGCTTCCAATCTTTCCCCGTGGGTGTGTCCCCCTCTGGGACGGCTCAAGTTGCGCTCCACTGTCGGTGGCCGCATGCGGTTTTCCATTCTTTTAAGTCTGCGACATCTGCCAGTTCGTTTCCTCTCCGCTGTCGCCTTCTTCTCGATCACTCTTCCTCCTTTCCCTCTTCCCCATCTCCTCCTCCTACCCCAGTTCCCCGGATTTCGTGCGCAGTCCCAGCGCTGTTTGGTTTGATCGACTCGGCATCATGGCGCCCCCAAAGTACGCCGGCATGTCTGGCCGGAAACTATCCCTGTTTCTATCAGGCATTGCTACGATGGGGTTTCTGCTCTTCGGTTACGATCGTAAGTTGTCGATCCCAGTATGTAACCATGCAAGGGCAAGCTACTAATCACCATCCTTCTAGAGGGTGTAATGTCTGGTATTATCTCGGACGCCGCGTTCAATAATGTCTTCACGGCTACAAAGAACGACAATGTCATGCAGGCCACTGTCACTGCTGTCTACGAAGTTGGTCAGTAAATGTCACATCGGCATCAAGTGTATGTCAAGTCACTAAACCTTGCCTTGCAGGCTGCCTCGTCGGTGCTATCTTCGCTTTGATCTTCGGTGAAACATTGGGTCGCCGTCTAATGGTCATCTCAGGCGCTTGGGTGATGATTATCGGTGTCATCATCCAGGTTACCGCTATGCCAGGCCATATTCCCCTGCTACAGTTCATCTTCGGTCGTGTTATCACTGGTATCGGCAACGGCATGAACACCTCGACTATTCCCACTTATCAAGCCGAGTGTTCTAAAACGACCAACCGTGGTCTCTTGATCTGTATTGAGGGTGGTATTATCGCCATTGGAACAGCCATCGCTTATTGGATTGACTTCGGTGCCCACTACGGCCCGCCTGATCTTGTCTGGCGCTTTCCCATCGCATTCCAGATCTTCTTTGGTATCTTGATCATTGTCGGCATGACGTATCTTCCAGACTCTCCTCGGTACTTGATCGCCCACGGCAAGATTGAGGAAGGCACCCGGGTTCTTGCTGCGCTGGCAGATGCTGAAATCGACGACCCTCATGTTCAGTTGGAAAAGCAACTGACGCTCGACTCGATCAGAGCGTAAGTTCTCTCTTGACAAGGTCTGATGGCTTGGATAACTGACATTGTATTTAGGTCCGGTTCTTCCAAGGCTAAGTTCCGTGATCTGCTCACCGGTGGTCCTTCCCAGCACTTCCGCCGGATGATCGTAGGATCATCTTCCCAGTTCTTTCAACAGATCTCCGGATGCAATGCTGTCATCTACTACCTTCCCGTGCTGCTGGAACAGTCTATTGGACAATCACACGACTTCGCCCTTTTGATTGGCGGTGTGAACATGATCTGTTACGCTATTTTTGCCACCTTCTCTTGGTTCTTCATTGAGAAGATCGGTCGCCGTAAGCTGTTCCTCGGAGGCAGCTATGGTCAGTGTGCAGCTATGATCATTGTCTTCGGATGCTTGATTCCCGGTGATTCCGAGAGTGCTAAGGGAGCCGTTTTCGGCTTCTTCCTTTACATGTGCGTCTTCGGTGCCACCTGGCTTCCCCTGCCTTGGCTCTACCCGGCCGAGATCTCTCCTCTCAAGACCAGATCCAAAGCGAATGCCGTGTCTACTTGCAGCAACTGGCTGTTCAACTTCACTGTCGTCATGATCACTCCCGTTATGGTCCAACATATCGGTTGGGGTACCTACCTCTTCTTCGCTGCCTGGAACGGTCTTTTCATTCCCGTCATTTGGTTCTTCTACCCTGAGACTGCCGGTCGCAGTCTGGAAGAAATTGATTTGATCTTCGCTAAGGGTTATGTTGAGAACATGAGCTACGTCCGGGCATCGAAGGAACTGCCCAAGCTCACCGACGAAGAGATCGAGGCCAAGGCCGCTGAGTACGGAATCCTTGGCGATGAGGAGAAGGCTGAGGAGAGAATTGCCGAGAAGGATCCTCCTGCGTCAGCTGAGTTCTCTCAGTTCCAGCCTACCCAGCTGTAAAGGGTGTATACCACACATTACCATCTTCCTTTACTTGGTCTCTGAAAAATTTTTTGCATGATGATATGCTTTGGACATGAGTTTTATACCATTTTGTTTTGAGTTTTCTACCGAGCCGTTGCAGGACAACCAAGCTTACGCGTGTATTATCTGGCACTTGGTGCTTATTGTGGCTCTTTGCAAGACCCTTGGCTATGGTCCAAGGTGAGGGAAGAGGAAGCACTTGTTCATAATTAACGCGTGGTTGTTGAGCAGCCTCGAGATGTATTATGGTCATCTGCGTGTAGATGTTATGTCCGATAGAGTGATCTATAGATCTCTGTTTGCTCTTGGCAGTTTGATACCTTTTGATTGCTAAATGAACAATCAAACCATGTCTTTGACAATATGCAAATCCATCACATTTATTAGGGTAACAGTGTATATCATTGAATGACGATCCCAAATTATTGCAAAGCATCTATTACAAGAAACCTAAATTATCAAGGCCATCAGAAGACTAGCGGCAGGACCCATGGATCAAAAGCAAACATACCTGTAGTCCGGGCACTAATGTTCTAACCTGCAGATCCGAACTCTAAATTCATCCTCCGCTAGCGCCATCGAGTTCAATAACCAATAGCTCAAGCCACATTTAATTGTGGATTCTGAAGACGGGCATGCCATTGACTGCATGCATGATCTAGTTAGCCCTACTGTTCAATAGTGTGCATAGGGGAACATACTAGAACAACTTCTTGGAGACAAAGTAGACACCAGTTCCGACAATGGCAACCTTGGCGAACCGCCCAAAGCCTCGGGTGCCATAACCCCGAGTATAGAGATGGCGAGCGTAGTTCTGATTAAAATAGGGAGTTCGTGAACGCATATTCAATGTGATCTATACAGGTAATAATTTTTTTGGGCGATAGTAAGCCTGTCTACATCCCCTTGATGGCAATGAATGATTTATACTTCATGAAGTTCGGGGTTCAAGAATCCTTCGCGGGCTCGGCCTCGGTCTTTAGCGCTGGGAAGACCGAGTTCTCGGCTTTTGACTTCAGCCTCACCATGAACATCACCACCATCTCATAATCACTATCTCAGCTCCTGTGAGCAAGCTGGTTTAGGCAATTGGCATTCTGTGTGTATGATTTTGGTCCCATTAACCCTGTTATCTATGGTATGTCTAGACTAACACCATCCAGCTGCATACGGCATCCATGACCGACACCGAACCTCGCAAACGTCGCCGGCCCGCCAAATCGTGTGAGCAATGCCGCCAACGCAAGGTTCGCTGTGACCGCAATGTGCCCTGTGGGCCTTGCACACGAGCTCGCTCATCTTTGGGTTGCTCTTATCGTCGGGTTAGTCGTTCTCCGACACCGGCTGATCACCAAACATCGCCCCTTATCTCGCATGAGCCGCAGCGCAATGCACGGGGCTACCCGCTGCCATCTGGGATGCCAGATGGCTCAACGGGGTCCCTGGACGAGACGCCACGCATTGGACCTCAATGCGGTAGCAAGGAATGCATCTCGTCGCAGCTAGGATCAACCATCCGTGACCTCCAGTCTCGTTTACAGCGTTTGGAGGAACGATTATCCAGCCCGGACATAACACGGCCATCGGCTCCAGAATCTGATATCCAGCAGGCACTTCGAGAGCTGTGTGACAAGGTCCAGAGCCTGGAACAGCGGCTACTATGTACGCAATCAAGCCAAGCACCGAAAGGAGAACTGGCCATTGCTGCAGCGCCTCCTCGACTGCACTCCAGTTCCAAGAAGATGAAGCTGTTCGGACCAACTCATTACATGCACACGATGGATAAGGTGCGAGCCCTGTCTCCATGAAGAATCGGATGAAGACTGACTATCCGTAGCTCCAACTCGTAGGCTCACTGGAAACTCGGGGTCCCCAGCCACTATGCCCCGAGCTCAAGGCAGAGCTGACTGCTCAAATCAAGGAGCTTCATCATCTCCGTGGATCAGTCAAGGCAGCACAGAGTCCTCGGTTGAACGACCCTGTGCCAGACCTGCTCTCTACTATCCCATCCAGATCGGTGTGTGATGAGCTGGTGCAATGCTACCTACGAACATTCGAAAGCATCTATCGCATTGTGCACATACCATCCTTCAATAAAGAATACCAGCAATTCTGGGACCACCCTCCAGCAACACCCACCCCCTTCCTCATGAAGCTGGCATTGATCCTCGCCATCGGCACAACCTTCCACCCACAACGAGGCAAAGCCGGCAAAGAATACGATACTCGACTCATCCAAACCTGGATCTACGCCGCCCAATGGTGGCTCACAGGCCCAACCGAAAAGAACACCTTCAACCTGGACGGCCTCCAGATCTTCTGCCTACTCATCCTCGCCCGCCAACTGGGATCCCCAGGCCCATCTCTATACCTCTCCGCCGCCTCCCTCCTACAGACAGCCACAGCCATGGGCCTACACCGAGACTCAGCCCATTTCCCATCTCTCTCCCCATTCCAATCCGAAATGCGAGCCCGTCTCTGGACCACCATCCTCGAACTAACCCTCCAGTCCTCCCTCGAATCCGCCTCCCCAATCCTCATCCCCTACTTCGACACCAAGCCCCCATCCAACCTCAACGACACCGACATCCACCCAGACCTCAAGCACCCCCCAACCGCCCACCCCAGCACCACCCACACAGACACATCCCTCCAACTCCTCCTCCACGACTCCTTCTCCCTCCGCGCCGAAACCATCCACCTCATCCACAGCCCCACCACAATCCCCTACCAAAAGGCCCTCGACCTGACCACCAAACTCCGCACCACCTGCCACACCATCACCACCACCACCACCACCACCACCACAACACAATCATTCCACCACTCCCACCTCCTCACAACCCTAACCCGCTACATCCTCCACCTCCACCTCCCCTTCGCCCGCGCCGCCCACACAACCCCTCAATACCACTATTCCCGCAAACTATGTCTCGAATCCGCCCTCACAATCGCCTCGTTCGCCCCAACCACCTCCTCCACTAACCCCCCCTCCGTTCCAATATCGATACCCCTCGACAACGACTTCCCCCTCCTAACCCTCACAGCCCGCGGGCCCCTCCGCGGGCCCCTAAACCTCGATGTAATCTGCACATTGGCGCTGGAACTCATCAGCCAGATAGAGGAGGCCCCAGGCACAAACACCACAAATACCCCCAATAATAGTAGTAGTCCCTTAAGCCTCCTAGCATCAACAATACGAACCCCCATCCTGCACACCCTCGAGAACCTCGCCCTGCAGAGCGCGCGCGTCCTGGGATTGCATGGGAAGTCGCCGGCGCTGAAACGGTATATTATCTCTCAGGCGTTGGTGGCGCAGATTAGGGCTTTGGAAGGTGGTGCTGGTGCTGGGGATGTGCAGGGGGTGGTGTATGAGGCTGTTAGGGGGTGTTTGAGGGATGGGGTGGGGATGTTGAGGGGGATGGAAAAGGAGGATAATAATGGGGAGGGGTTGGGGATGTTTGTTACGCCGGATAGTGCTGGTGCTGGTGCTGGTGCTGGGGGGTTGGATGAGATGGGAGAGGGGTTGGGGGTTGGGATGGGATTGGTAAGTATTGTTTTCTTTCAATTGAGTGTTTGACTTATGGTCTGTGGAACTGGGCTAATTGTTGGTTTCATGTAGGATGATCTTGAAGGGTGGGATTTGGCGAGTTTTTTGTATGCGCCTGGGTTGGTGGATTTGGGGGGGTGGTAGGGATGAGTGGTAGGTAGATAGATGGGGATGATAGTATGATGATGGATTAAGGCGCAGAAAATTGCTCATGGCAAGGGTTGTGTATGTTATCAACGAGTGTATGGAAGGAATGATCGTCTCTATTATTAAGGCACGTGGTGGTAATATTCTCGCTTATGCATGGTCATGTTCATGCTAATAATGCACTCGTAGTAATATAGTATACCTCAGACCTGCAGAGGGCTAGAACCACCCTGCATACTGGTCCAACGACTCATTCTGCACACCGGCAGAACCATGGCGCACCCCGAGAAGGCGGACATTCCCGATCTTGCCCCCAAAGTCATCTTCCAGTTTGCTCTCCCACGTCTCAAAGAGCTGAGTCAAACGCTGGATGACATCCGCCTTGTCCTCGATGAGCACGGCCAGGGCATCGTACCCACCGGCGCCGGGGACGACACCGCCGACAACACCCTCGATGCTGGTGATGGCATCAAGCAGCTCGGTTTGCACCTTAGGTTCGATGGGGACACCGGCCTTCTGGGTCATGGTGCGAATGAGGTCCCGAGAGCGTTCGATAAGACGACGAGTATCGTCAAAGCCGTTCAGGGCTTCCGCATCTGGGCTCTGGGATAGCTGCTTCAGCTCCAAGCACAGTCGCTCATTGTTGGACTGAAGTGCCTGCCATAGCATCAGAGACTCCTCCGGGTTCTGCTTGCGCCATTCCAGGACCTTCCGGACCATGGACGGGGTCTGAGAGCCGCATTCCACATCACACAAAACCATCTGCATTCCCCGGGGGAGCTTCATGCCGAAATCCAGACACTCCGTATCCCACGAATGCTTGGGGTCGGCATCTTCGACGATGGCAAACAAGCGCTCCTCGAAACCTGGTGACCCAACATCCCCGACTGACTCCAAAATGGACGGCGAGAACCGCCGGTACAGACAGGAACCGTAGATCGCTGCCGCCACGTCAAACCCAGATCCCACTTTGCCTTGTGCTGCACAGTGAGCGGCCTGCGCCAGGTTGTGCAGCTTCTCGCGAGCAGCCCCGAGGTCCTCGGGCTGCAGGGTGCGGTGAATGACTAGAGCGGATACAAAAGCGGTGACCAGGGCTGCAGAGGAACCCAATCCGGTTTTGTGTGCTTCATGAAGGGGAACGCCAAAGTTCACGAATCGTCCCGGAGACTGGAGGCTCGAGATCTTGGAGAAGGCGGTTTCCGAGTAGTAGTCGTTATCGGCAAGGATCGTGATGGAAAGGGAACCGAAGTCTTTCGAGGCGGCCACGTAGCTGATGTACGTCAAGGCGTAGTTGAGAGAGGTTTCGACAAACGGGTTTGCTCGTCTGCTGCAAACTTAGCCCTGGTTGCTCCAAATGCGAGTCTAGGCACCTCACCCGTCGTTCTTCTGTACGACCTTGACCCCACCTCCGTTATCGCAACGCTGGATGCCATACTCCCACACCGCGTCGACAAACTGCGGGGAACGAACGACGATGACGTCCTCACTGGCTTGTTCATCTGCAGCCTCATCTTCAGCTATTTCCGCACCATCCCTGCTTTGTGTTCGAATCCAGACATACCACTGCGGTGAGATCTTCTCAGTTGCTGAACAACGACATGGATACGAGCGTCGAGGGCGAAGACTGTGCCGGTGTAATCGCGGTCCAGGACTAGGTAGCCGCCGGTGAGAAGGACCTTTCCAGGGGCGGACACCGCCGTTACTGTGGGAGCTTTGTAGGACATGAGGGGGAGCGAGGAGAGTGTGCGGTTCGGGTATCACGAAGGAGTGGGCGCTCTATTCCGTCTGGCACGGGCGAGGAACTAAAGGGGCGAGAGGGTCAGTATATAACCCCAACCAAACTGCAAGCGATCAAGTTGAAATGTGATCTTCAGGGAGATAATGTACGCACTGTCAGACCAGTAAGCGTGGTCGGTGAATGATCCAATGGGTTGGCAAATGCAAAGGGCTGCAAAAGCAAATCGGGCTTGGAACAGTTTGCGAACTCCGTCAATATGGAGGAGCCCCGCTTAGAGGAGAAAGTCTACTACAAGTCTTGCGGGGAGAGACAACCTGCAAGGAGAAGAAGGATAAGGAAGAGGCCCAGAGCGGATGCATGATGACTGACTGACTGACCTGCGTCTGGTAGCCGAAGATCGGAGATATGTGTAGAGCTGCAGCGGCATCCAGCGTCTGTCAGTTGTGGACTGTTGAGTTGAACTGAACTGGTTGACATGTTGATGTGCCACTTTCCACTCATTTCCTTCCAAACAGGCAAACTGTGGCTGGAGCTCTCCAGGTGTGGCTTGACGAGTGGCTGTCATTCAAGTCTGGTCCCGTGATCTGCATCTGATTACTGTTGATAGATTACCCGCCAACTTACTCCGGAGATTTGACTCGAAAATTAGCCCATGGCTATCTCTTCCGTACTTTGTACTCAGAACTGTCGTCATGGAAATATAGCCCTATGCGCTAGAGCAGTAATCGCATCTACGTCAGCGGAAGAGCGACATCCGGTGGTGGCAGTGTAGAGTCAATGCATGGGTGTACGCCGAAGATAACAATCTAACTTCTCCGTACTGTCATCTGATGTCAGGGAGCGTTTGATAGGCAGCAGCTCCAAGGGATGCATTTATCCCGTCACATCGTGCTTTGTTAGATGATGCTGCAGGCTCATCACGGAGGAAAAGCCATGCTTGGAGCAGGACCGAGAAGGTCAGTGGTAACAGCTCATAATCTGCTCGGTCACGCTCCTCCATCTATCGTCCTCTCACACCCGAATTTAAGGTACCCCCTAAATTGACTTCCGTCAACGGACTGTGTACCCAGGGATCCGGGTCCAGAGACCAGGTCAACAGTTCGTATCTGATCGAAGGGACCAATTAGCAGTCTCCTTAATAGAGGCCACAGTGTCTTCCACACGGAGATTAGCCTGGGACCACGCCGTAAATACGTCTCGCGATCTGAGACCATAGGGCAAGGGTCATCATCCCTTTGGGGAGAGCCAAACCCAAGACGGAGAGTCGGCCATCCGGGTGTCCGGCGGGCTGTCGGGGTCTGGCAGTCAAACTCCGGGCCCGAAGAAAAAGAGCCGGAACGGAGGGTGACTCACTAAGAGGAGCGGGCCGGCCAGACTGGTCCGGACAGTGACAGTCAGTGGCAGAAACCCATTCTAATGGCAGAGAATGGCAAATGGCAGATGCCAGGGGAGGATCCAGAAAATGGCGCTCCTGTTCTTCCCTACGGCCCCAGTGTGTCGCGTGCCCCGATTGGGTCTGGCTTACGATCCGGGGCTTGCCGTGAGACCACCTGATCAGCTCCTTTTGGGAATTCCCGCTCCTCCTGCGCCTCAGGCAACAACGACGCTTCTCGAAGGCTGACGTTGCTTCTGTTTCTGCCTCTGTTTTCTTGTTTCGTGTGCCTGTGGATGCGGGAGAGAATTTTTCGTAGGATTTTTTTTACTTTTTCTTACTCATTTTCTTGTTCGTCCATGGCTCATGGTCGTACTCCTTTTTTACTTTGTGACTACATAAGACACTGTTCCTTAATTTTCCGTAGAGGCGTTTTTCTTGTTCTTTACCCCTCTTGACGGATAAACGGACGAAGTCTACAAATTTATAGCCCAGAGTCCCTTCTTCTCGGTAATTCTCAGTGTCTTCCCCACATATACTAATTTCCATCACTAATACATTCAAGACCGACAATACAATTAGTTTTCCCCTTTCAGCTTGTTGTGACTGTGAGGGTTCCTCATTCCGCGCCCCAGTGAAAAACTCAATTCTCTGCCTTCCCATTGGTCCGCAAAAGTACCTAGTCTCAAAACAGGAAAAGTCGGGATAGGATCGGCGCTAACCCGCTTTAGGCACGCCCGGCGATACAGATCAGCTTTCCGGCGGCTTTGAAATACCCAGCATTTCCCTCCACACGCTCTGCAGCTACTGAATTCTCATCCTCTTGTCACTGAAAGGCTTTTGCCAAATCCATTTTCCTCCCTTCTATTCCCCTCCCTCCTTTATCCCGCGCGTTCCTTTGGCGACCTGACGTCGTCAAATGAACCTGCATCTTCATTATTATTTTGATTGCAAGGTACGCTTTCCCGTGGCGTCCTCGGACAAAAGGCACACAAAGTCCGAACTATCAGAAAATACCACGTGTAGACACAGTCACTGACATTTTCACCAGCATTGCCTCTTCCCTCTGAAGAGGTCACCCGCTAGATAAATGGTCTTCAAGCCGTTTACCCACCTCGCGCGTCAGAGTTTCACCAAAGCCTTTACTCATGGCTATGCTCAATCCGTAGTCGCGGCGTCGCAGTCGTCATACGCGTCGACCACCACATTCAACCAGATTGCCAGTCAACCCGCCGCTAAGCTATCTCGGACGACGCAACTACAAAATGTTTTCCAGCCATCTAGCTCGTCCGGTGCGGGCGCCAAGGCCAGCCAGGGCACTTCGGGCTCCGGCGATTTGGGCTTGGCTGCCTACTATGCTGCCTGGCAGCATGCCCAGCAGACGGGCGACGACAGTGACTGGAAGCAGATGCAACTGAAAAGGAAGGTTGGCTGGAAGCCGTCTTTGAACGAGGATGGCGTCAAATCGAAAGAGTCCGACAACCTGCCCTCGACCGACAACAACTTCCAGAATTCGCCTCATATCACCAAGGCGTCCGCCAACGCAGATGTCAGTGCCAAGGTTGAAGAAGCTGTAGCCCGGGAGATTCAAATACAGGAGGAGCAGGCTCAGGTCGATGAGGCTTCTGAAGCCAAGGAGAACACGGATACGGAAGCTTTCCCTGACTTGCCGCCGGATGTTGCTGCTGTCGCCGATGCCTCCTCCGAGCATAGCCGCCTTGCGTCAGAGCACATCACCGATTTGGCATCGGGCAAGAAATTCGCTGAAATCCCCGGAGCATTTGCAACGCTTCTGCGGGATGGTCTTACGCCTACGGTCGGTGCCTACAATGCCCTTCTCGAATCGGCCATTCAACTCCATGGCGATACTGCTCAGGCTATCCAGAAGGCCCTGGATGTCTACTCGGACATGCTTCGTCGCAGGGTAGTTCCCGACGAGCAGACCTACCAAACTTTGGTGCAGCTTTTCGTGGTCCGTGCCAATGATGCCATCAAGTCTAAGGGCATGCTGGAGCAGGAGCGTGTTCGCTACGGTGGTATGGAGGAGCCGGGCAAGTTCATGTTGCACTCCAGTGAGCTGGAGCGCGCCATTCTCGCCGAGGATCACTCTTTGGGAATTGCGATGAAGTTGTTCAACACTGCCGCCACGCGTCATGCCGATCTCGTCTTCCCTCTTGACACCTACCGCCATCTGATCAACGCCTGTGCAAAGGAGGGCCAAGTCGAAGACATGATCCGAGTGTATGGGCATATGGAGTCCCACAATGTGACCCCGCACGCTTCGATTTTCCCGTCCATGATTGATGCCTTTGCCTCCACGGGAGATCTGCAGAGTGCTGTGGAATGTTACAACGAATACAAGGGATTGGCGGTTTCGGACGATAACGGAACCTTCTGCATTGTGCAGCGGTTGGATGGTCAGGTGTACGCTGCTCTGGTCCGGGCGTACCTGGTCTGCGGGAAGGAGCAGCAAGCTTTGCGATTCCTGGAGCGGATCCAGGCCTCCTTTGAGGAGGTGACTGAGAACCGTGAGGCGCGTCAGCAAGCCTTGGAATCGGCCGTGGTGCAGGATGGGCTGGTGCAGCATGCGCTCACGTCGGGCGAGTACGGGCGGGCGTTGGATCAGGCCAAGACCCGGTTGCGCGATGGAGCCCTCGATCATGCCATGTCCCAGATCTGCATTGCCGCGGCGGATGCGGGTAATCTGCAGACAGCTTCCGAAGCATACGATGCTCTCCCCACCGACATGACCATTCGTCAGAGGCCCGCCGTCTCGATGCTCGCCTTGCATGTGCGTCAGGGCAATGTGTCAGCTGCCCGGGCTGTGTGGCTCACCCTGAACACCACCGGTCAGGCAACACCGGACATGGTCCAGCCGACTGCCATGTATGCGGTGGCACTGTTGAAGAGTGGTCAGATCGAGGAAGCCTTGGTTCAAGCTCGCAATATGTTTGCTCGTGTCCGCAACGCTTCCGCCGTCGCTGACAACTCTATTCTGAACCCCATCCGTGAACAGATCAACGAAAGCCTTCATCTCATCGGTCGCGTTCTTGTGCAGACAGCGGCTGTCCTCTCTCCTCAAGCTGCCATGTCTCTCCTGTGGTCGATGGTCGAGAACGGAGGCCTGATCTCCCCTGTCGCTGAACATGTCGTCGCCAGCCTTGGTCCTATCGGTATCTCTCAACTGAACGCCCGCGATCTCATGCTTGCCCTCCAGGTTCAGGCTGGCATGTTGCTCAACCACAGCGCTATGTTCGACGTGGCTCACCCCATTCGTTTCTCTCACATGCTCGACATTGCTCTGGCTACCGGGTTGCCCATGGATGCTACCACTACTCGTGTCGTCGACCAGGCCGTCGGCAAGCTGTTCAACAGCCGGCCGGACATGGTCAAGAGATGGCACGACCACCTGGCTTTGACCTCCAGCCCGTCCTCCTTCATGAGCGGCCGCCACTCTCCCAGCTCGGATGTGTCGACGATGACCCCCATGTCCTCCACCGATGAATCGTTTGACCCTTACGCCTACGCCACCGACTTCCGTGGATCGTCGATGATCTCCGACGAGCTGGAGAGCACCAGTGGCAAGCTGGAGGCTCACCTGAACGACGCTCTTTCTCGTGTCCGCAACATGCGCCGCAACGGCCGCCACCCTCGCTACATCACGTACGCCAAGATGATCACGGCCGCTACCAAGTGCAACCGGGTCGATCTGGCCTACGAGATCCTGAGCATGGCTAGACGCGATGTGCCTCTTCTTCCTCAGTACAGCGCCGTCAAGTACGGCTGGGTTTCGATCCTAGATGCCATGGTGGCGTCGTGCCTAACTCTGGGCGACCGCAGCCAAGCCTCCAAGTTCCACCAGGAGCTTCTCGAACTCGGCTCGGCTCCTTCTGCCAACACCTTCGGTCTCTACATCACCACCCTCAAGGAATCCACCAAGACGTTCGACGAAGCCACCGAGGCCTTGAAGATCTTCCACCGCGCCGTGGCCGAGGGAGTGGAGCCTACTTCGTTCCTGTACAACGCGCTCATCGGTAAGCTGGGCAAGGCCCGCCGGATTGATGACTGCCTGCTGTACTTTGCGGAGATGCGCGCCAACGGAGTCCGTCCGACGAGTGTCACCTATGGAACGATCGTCAACGCCCTCTGCCGGGTCAGCGACGAGCGTTTTGCCGAGGAGATGTTCGAGGAGATGGAGTCCATGCCCAACTACAAGCCCCGCCCCGCCCCGTACAACTCGATGATCCAGTACTTCCTCAACACCAAGCGGGACCGTAGCAAGGTTCTGGCCTACTACGAGCGCATGCTGACCCGGAACATCCAACCCACGATGCACACCTACAAGCTGCTCATCGACGCTCACGCCTCTCTGGAGCCCGTGGACATGCCCGCGGCTGAGAAGGTCCTCGAGACCATCAAGGCTGCTGGCCAGCGACCTGACGCCGTTCATTACGCGTCCCTCATCCACGCCAAGGGATGTGTGATGCACGACATGGAAGCTGCTCACGCTGTGTTCAAGTCTGTTGCGGAGGAGCGCAAGGTGCGGATGCAGCCTTGTCTGTACCAAGCTCTTCTGGAGGCCATGGTGGCCAACCACCAGGTTGCACAGACGGAGGAGATCGTCCGGGACATGGCTCGCCGTGGAGTGGAGATGACTGCCTACATTGCCAACACTCTCATCCACGGGTGGGCTACGGAGGGCAGCGTGGCCCAGGCTAAGACGGTGTATGACAGCATCGGCATCGAGAAGCGGGAGCCTAGCACCTACGAAGCGATGACCCGGGCCTTCCTGGCCAACAACGACCGGGAAGGAGCCTCGCGCACCGTGCAGGAGATGCTCTCTCGCGGGTATCCCCCGGCTGTGGCCAGCAAGATCGCCGATCTGGTGGGCACGGGAGCTGCTGTCGCTGCTCTGTAGAGTGTTCTCTTACCGTGTTTTGCTTTTACATCCAACAAAAGTTGCCATCCTTTTTGATTTTCGCGGATTACAAAACCTTATTGACTGAATCACTATCCGGTTTTAATTCACCAGGGCTGGATCCCTGCTTTTCGGTTTTTCCAGCCCGATGGTCTCGGCAGAGGCATTTGGGAGGGCAACTTGTGCTGGCTGATTGATAATGTTGATTTGTTTGAGACTTGAATGCATTTAGCGAACTGGCACAGGCGTTGTGGCAGCATTTGGGACTGGCTTGTATATACCATGATTTGATGTGTTTCGATAGATCCTCTCAGCTCTTTAGTGTCTATATGAATGGACCATAAAATATTTCCAGCATATTTTGCGCAGAGATCTCGATTTATCCAATGTAGATGTAGATGTAGATCCATTAGATGGTGACGTTGAGGTGCCGAGCCGGCTGATGGTGTTTTGGCCGCGAATGACTGCATGACCCCGCCGCCCTCCGCATCGCTTCCTCCCACTTCTTGGATCAGCCCATCTTGACTTCTCTGACTGACTCCGGCAATTGAGCATCGCACGACCAGTCGATGCATCCTTATCGCCTGCGTCTATCTCTTCATCAATCCCTCCGTCAGCTACAATCAGTCACCTGGTGTCATCATTACAGCTCCGGCCGTACCTCTACGATGAATCCCGGATCACTGCCCGATGGGCCCAGCCACGAGGCAAAACATCCCAAAAAGCTGATCTGTACGTTGTCGCAGTATATCTCAAGGGATCCTATTACTCACCATATACCTAGTCGCTCCAGGAGACATCCAGACCACCTCCGAGCCCAAAATCACCCCCACCGAGACGCCCGATCCATCCGCTACAGCCATCGGAGTCACAACAGCACCAGCACCTATCTCTCGTCTCGCCGCAGAAGCCCTTCGCTCGAACGCATCGACCCCCGACTCGGTGACTGAAAATGAGATCGTTTCCCACCCTGCCCGAGCTCACCAGTTCGTGAGCAACCCGCCCCTCACCATCTCCCAGATGCACCCGACCAATCCCCTCCACCAATTCCACAACTGGTTCCGCGATCCTCGTCTTCTTCCGTCGTCCGCACCTGAGACCTGCACCCTAGCTACAGCCAGCATGCCCTCGGGCCGTGTGAGCGCCCGTGTCGTATACCTCAAGGAACTGGACGAGCGAGGCTGGGTAGTATACAGTAACTGGGGCAGTCGAGAAGGCAAAGGCGGACAAGTATTCGGCAATCACGCAGACGGCGAGGACACGCTCAGCGCCATGCCAGAGCCAGGCCAGGACGAGTCTCTCCAGGCCGGACTACAGGAGGGCAACAAATGGGCGGCGTTGACATTCTGCTGGTCGAATTTAGAGCGTCAGGTGCGCATCGAGGGTCTTGTCGAGCCGCTCAGTCGCGACGAGAGTGAGATGTACTGGCGTACTCGGGAACGAGGAAGCCAGATCGGAGCGTGGGCGAGCTGGCAGAGCAAGGTGCTGTGGTCTATGGAGCCGGAGTTGCTTTTGGATCGTCGGCGCAAGAGCCTCGACCCGACTTCGTGTCCGCAGATGCAGGTCCCCGGGGATGTGGACGCGACGGACATCGATGATGGGCGGGCGCTGCTGGAGAAGCGGGTTAAGGAGATGGAAGAACGGTTTGCGGGGGTCGAGCAGATCCCTCTGCCTCCGTTTTGGGGAGGAGTGCGCTTGGTCTCTGAGTCGGTGGAGTTCTGGCAGGGTCGGCGCAGTCGGTTGCATGACCGATTCCGGTATGTGAGGGTGCATAAGGAGGATGGGGAGGAGGGGGGGTATAGATGGCGGATTCAGAGGTTGTCGCCGTGAGGACACATACTATGATAAACTCTATACAAGAATAGTACCATTCAATCTTAATCTATTAGCAGTTGACATGTACTTAACTGTTATACTCCGTATACAGTAGCTATCAGCCATATCCGGCAACAGCCAAGACCTCACCTTATCGATTGGAGCGCAACCTCACCTCCCTCCCCAGTTCCCCAGATTAATACCACCAAGCCCTCCATACTCTCTATCTAAACCACCTACACTCCACACCTCTTACAGACCACACACCAAGACAACAAATCCACAATGTCCGACCCTCAATCCCCATCCCCAACCCCAACCCCGATACAACAAGAACAACAACAACAAAAACACCACCACCAAACCAAATGGCTCCTCCTCGCCCTCTCCAGCGGCGCCTTCGCAGCCCTCAACGGCCTCTTCGCAAAGCTGTACGCCCCTCCCATCCCCATTCCCCATTCCCCTTCCCTTTCCCATTACCTCCCACCCATCCTCCCCTCATACACAAAACTAAAGCAAAAGCAATACAGAACAACCGACACCGCAACCACCACCTTCGCCGCGCACCTCATCCATCTCTTCACATCCACCTCCAGCCCAGATGACCACCCCATCCTAATCCTCCTCATCCGCGCGCTCTGCTTCGGCCTCAACATCCTCAGCAACATCATCATGTGGGCGTTATTCACGCGCGCCCTGACGGCGGGGTCCTCCACGACGAAGGTGTCGATTACGAACACCGCGGCGAATTTCCTCGTTACGGCTGTGCTAGGTATGGGGGTTTTTGGGGAGAGGGTGGGTGGCTGGTGGTGGGTTGGGGCCGGGTTGATGGGCGTAGGGTGTGTTATTGTGGGGAGGAGGGATTGATTTAGTATATTATATTGTTGGGGGATGGTAAGGTGGATAGTATAGGGTGGTGTGTGTGTATGTATGTATGTACAATGTGTATGTGTGTGGTGGGTGTGGTGTGGTATCAATGCTATCTATCTACTGCGTATCTATTCTTTGGGTGGGTATGTGTGTGTTTGTGTTTATCATGAGAGAAGGGGATGGGGGAGGGTTAACGCTCTTCTAACTCCAGCATGGCGTCTGTCTCGTCTGCTTCATTGGGAGCGGTATCCGTCGCATCTCGGTGCTGCTCGGGCACGGTGGGGTCTCGTCGTCGTCGGGGTGGTGGTGGTTGTTGTTGTTGCTGCTGTGGCTGGGAGTGCTGCCACGGCAGTATAGACCCGATGCGCTGTAGGAGGTTCCACAGACGTTCCTCTAATGTGTCACCACTGCTTCGGCCGTTGGCCCCTCCTAGTGCTAGTTGGGGTGGACTGGTCGCCGCGAGCGCCTGTTCCTCGGCTTCGACCTTGAACTGGTACTTCAAACAGTCCTTGACGGTGACAAGTCCCATCAGACGACCGCGATGCTCGACCAGAATGACGCGCGGTCCCATCTTTTTGAAGATCTCCATTACCGTCTCGAGGGCGAGACGGGGGTGTACTGTCAGCGGCGTGTGGTCCGCGTATCGGCTAAAGTCGACGTAGTCGGCCCCCGTGTTGGTCTGGATGTCGTCGAATGTCTCCGGCGCGTGGAGATGTGACGCTGTCGATGCCCTGCGTGTTACCGATGCTTCGGCTGCTTCTTTAGTGAATAGGCATTTGGCGGTGGGCGACAGCGGCCCCTCGGCTTTGGCACGGTTGATTGCGTAGCGCAGCTCTGTGCGGCCGATGTATCCCACGAGTGTCTTTCGGGTCCGGTCGTCCACGATGGGGAAGCCTTGGTATTTATTGTCGCTTAATAGGTGCTCGGCTTCGCGGACGGGAAAGTCCGATGCGGGCAGTGAGACTGGGTCGGATGTCATGGCTTGGGAGACGGGCACGTTGAAGACGTGGTCTTCTTTGTTGTCCAGGAATGGGAAGCCGTTGGACCAGATCATGCGGTCGGCGATACCGCCCTTTCCGAAGCAGTCGCTGACGGCTTTGGTGACGCCGACGACGATCTAGTTATGAGTTAGTGGCAGTACGGGATTAGGTTTACAATGAACGCACCATCGTTGGAAGAATGTAGTTCAGGGCACCTGTCAACTCAAACATGATGACCGTCACGGAGATCGTCAAATGCATGATACCACTGAGAGCCGCGCCCGCCCCCAGGAAAGCATACGTTCCTGGTGTGATGCATGGAATGTCCGGCTCGCAAGACGCAAAGAATTGCGACTTCGGATACGCTTCGTGCAGCGCCTGGACGAGGATACCGACAAACCGGCCGAAGGACGCCCCGATGGCCATTGACGGCACGAAGATACCAGCTGGGACCTTACAGCCATATGATATGATGACCAGGAAGATGCGAAGAATGGTAGCTACGGCCAGCGACATCACCATAGACCAGCGGTTCTTAGCCCTATAATGTGTGAGTACATGTCACGCCAATCGGATGATACCACTTACTCGCATAGGCCGTTATAGTCGTGCCCTCCCTCGCATTCCCGGAACAGGATCTCCATCATCTCCGTCATGTTGATCTTCAGGAACATATTCGGGTAGCACAGAATGGCTGTGATGAGGGCGAGGACAACTGATTCCATGACGGCGTGCTGCGACAGGTACTTCTTCCTAAACGCTTGCACCCGAAGGTTCCACTTGATCACAAAGGCGCCGTATAAGCCACCAAAGACACCAATTAAGACGAAAAAGATCAGCTCAAAGAAGTGCCAGGTACGGTCATATTGCACTTGGAACATGACTAGTTGCCCTGTCCGGAATGGATTCATGACCTGCATGTGTCAGCGACGAACAATCAAGACATTGAGAGACATACCGCTAGCACACCAGTCGCAACCAAGGCACAGAAATAACTGCGCCATAGCGTCTTGAGGGGGAAATATGATGCCACTTCCTGCCAGCTAATCAGTAAGAGCTTTCACATCAGCACTGCTGCTCATACCTCGAGAGAGAACAGCACCCCACCAATGGGACTGCCAAATGCGACTGCCACTCCCGCCGCTGCTGTTGCCGTCAAGACCTCCCTCGTCTTGGATGCATTCTGCTTGTATTTGCTGAAGAACCGCGATATTACGTTCCCCGTGCACACAGCGAAATGCACACTCGGACCCTCTTTCCCCACGGACAGACCAGATGCAATGGCCAGCGGTAGTGCGATCGACTTGATCAGCAACGTCCATGCTCCCAAGAACCCCTTCATCACAAACCCCGCAATTATACATTTGATCTCAGAAATGCCGGAACCTGCGGCATACGGCGCGAACGATTTGACGAGGCTTGCGGCGACGAATGCGAACAGTACCTATTCAAGTCAGCCCTAGTCATCCGGAACGAGCAGAGTGGGCGGGCATACGGCGTAGAAGATGTAAATGAAGTAGTTCACGATCCAGTAAGAGGTCCAAGGCCTCCACTCCGGACAACCTAAACACAAAGAACCATTAGCTTAGACAACGAGGGGTGATCGCACCACCGTTCCACATACCTCCTTCAGCACCCCAACAACAAAACTGTTCATTGAGATAGAACGCAGTCGTACAATGCCCCAGCTTGACATCAGACAGCCACTCGGTAATGATGTTCAAGATCGCCGATATCAACCCAATGGCCGCCCCCACAATTGTGATCACCAGCCACGCCTGGCCGGCATCGTAGGACTCGCGCACTTTGCGTCTCCATCCAAAGGTCCCTTCCTGGTCCCAAAACCCAGATCCATCTCGTCGCTTAGCTCTCCGACGTGCCTGCTCGTGAACCGCGTCTTGCACCCAGTCAATGGTTGTGAAATCTTCGTAGCGCTTGATTTCGCTGATCTCCTCGGTGATGGCGGAGGGCTGACCATTTTCCGGGGTCGGGCGCTCGTGGATCGGTGAGACGACAGATAAGCCTGATAACCTCCTCCAATTCCGACGCTCAGATGAGAGGGGAGGCGGGCGAGCCGAAGAGGGTGAGACAGGCATCGCAACTCATTCCATGGACTGACAGCGCAAGATGAGCATAGCTGAAGCTAGTACGAGGGGGAGAGGGAATTCTGTTGGATCGGAGATGACGACGATAGGATGCGCGGCCGCCCACGTGAGGGAGCCGGACTATGTTCCGCTCTCGGGCTTCTCCCAAAACGAGGCTGAATAGACAAAGACAAAGTGATAGGATGTTGGACAATAGAGTGGAATATGTAGATACGTAGCAGGGATATTTCATTGAGTGCCGGCTGAGAGATCGCCTTATAAGCGTGAAATAACTAAGTAGCTAGTATTGATCCTCTTCCGAACCATACATTATTCATTTACTTTCCTCTTCCGCCACGCGCGAGAGTGGATTTCGACGCCGCACGCGCCGGATTTCCCCTTCTTTGCAACTTCACTTACTGGGTTTGTCTTTGCATCAACACAGTCGCTGGTATAGAAGTACTGCCTCAACTACACCTTAAACTTTGTATCATTCTCGTCAGTTGCAATACGATATCGTTCACGACATTCCTTGCACGACTATCTCCGACGCGACACTCGCGATGCCGCCCAAGGACAAAGCTGCCGCGGAAGCATCATCTTCCCAAGAGATCACGGGCCAGAGCGCACTTCCCAGTATGTGTGACGCTGTTAGCTATATGTACAAGGCTAACATGAGCTGAAGTCTCGCGGATCAAGAAGATCATTCAATTAGATGACGATATCGTACAATGTTCGAGCAATGCTACGTTTGTGATCGCAATGGCCACGGTTCGTGACTACGATGCTATCTCCCCTCCAGTCAATTTCGAGACGATCAGCAACTCACAACCTTTTTCCACAAATTAGGAACTGTTCATCCAATACCTTACCGAACAAGGCCACAACGTTGTTAAATCAGAACGGAAGCCGCGCAAGCTTATCCAATACAAAGACCTGGGTTTGTGGCCACTGGGCAGAGGGGATGATAATTTAAATTACTGACGGATGGATCTCCAGCTACGGCCGTATCACGCATCGATAATCTCGAATTCCTCTCCGACGTGATCCCCAAAACCACAACCTATAAGCAGTTCAAGGAGAAACGGGCAAAGGAGAAGGAACCCGGACCCGAGAAGGGACAGCGCACATTAAACGGCAATATACCTGCAGCGGTCGAAGAGAAAGAGGAAGTTGAGGAACAACAGAGTCTACAGCCAGTAGAGGACAAGCCTTCGAGGGGTTCGCGACCGCCAACGGTGACAATGATGGTGGATCGAACGGTTGATACATCTGCTGGAGATCAGGATGTCGAGATGACGGACCAGTGACGGATTCCGACGGTTATGAGTTCTGGGATTATATATACGTGTATGTATCTTTGCATGGTGGAGTTATTTGGGAGGGTATTATTTTGCTTGGGTTTCGACCTGTGGGTTAGTCAATTGAAAATATGCTGTTAACTAGTTGATATCGCATTGGAATATTCGGATACTATTGGGGGCAGCGGAATGGAACGGACGACGGGATGAGCGGGAGGAAGGGAGTGAACGACGGAATGGCGTAATGAGGGTATAGAGTTGTTAGCAAAACAAAACAAAAAGAGATGAATGAGTATGAAGATACATAGGTTGTTAAAATAAAAGTTGATATCGAGAATGAAAGTAAATGTTCACTAACTAATGTATTAAGTTAGTAGTAGTAGTGAGTAGTAATAGGCTGTGATGATTGACTGTCAGGTGAGAAGCCTGACTAAGACGGGATGACGGGCCAATGAAACGCCCCGTGATTCCGATCGCTTGTCGTAGCGAAAGCTTTGGTTCGACTCTTTCCGTATGCCGGGCCTCCGACCTCAACCTCGACCTCTTGGGAAAATCAAATCCTCCCTCCGTCCTTATCTCTCCCTCTCCACCCCCCACACCCCAACCCACCTCCCTGCGGTCGTTCTCTATTGCAATTGATTGCAATTGCTCGTCTCGCCATGTCTCTCTCCGCCGCTTCCAGCTCTATCCTGCGCGCTTGCGCCCGGCAACAACTGCCCTCTTCTCGCGCCGCCATTGCCTCCTGCCAGCAGCGGAGGGGAGTCGCTGATGCCTCCAAGTCCACTTTCGATAGCCCCTTCGGCAGCTCCAAGGAGTACTCTTCCACCCTGAAGATCCCCGATTTCAGCAAATACCAGTCCAAGAAGCCCCCACGCTCCAACCAGGTCTTCTCTTACTTCATGGCCGGTTCCCTCGGTCTGGCCTCTGCCGTCGGTGCTAAGGCCACTGTCCAGGGTAGGTACTCCTGGAGATATCAATGTTGCGCATATACAAGAGAGAAAGAGGCGGAAAGACTAGGAGACGGGAATATCAGGTTGAACAATTGAAGGGAATGGATGTGTGCTTGACCGCTCGGAACAAATCGCTGATGTGGAATCTCTCTGATCACTAGACTTCCTGGTTAACATGTCCGCCTCCGCCGATGTTCTCGCCCAGGCTAAGGTTGAGATTGGTCTCGGTGCCATCCCCGAGGGCAAGAACGTATGTTCCATATTCCCCAGCCATCGTCCTCTGGCTCGTTCCCCCTTTGCAATCCGGCATCTGACCCATTCCCAAACAGGTTATCATCAAGTGGCGTGGTAAGCCCGTCTTCATCCGTCACCGCACCCAGGACGAGATCCAGGAGGCCCAGAAGACCGAGTGGCAGTCCCTCCGTGACCCCCAGGCCGACGAGGACCGTGTCCAGAAGGCCGAGTGGCTTGTCATGCTTGGTACGACATTTCCTTTTCCCCGACCCGCCATTGACCCCCCATCTAATACCATCCCCCCTGTTTAGGTGTCTGCACTCACCTTGGTTGTGTCCCCATCGGTGAATCCGGTGACTATGGCGGCTGGTTCTGCCCCTGCCACGGTTCTCACTACGACATCTCCGGCCGTATAAGAAAGGGACCCGCTCCCCTGAACCTCGAGGTTCCCCAATACAACTTCCCCTCCGAGGACACCCTCGTCATCGGTTAAACGATTTAGAATTGATTCGATCTTCTGAGACCGCGGGAATCGGGCGATGGCCGTAAGAGCAGAAGTAGAAGTCGGAGAAAGGGGAAGGGAGAGAGAGAAAGAATGAAAGAGAGAGAGAGAGAGAGAAGGTTTGTATTTGTGCAATAGACGAAAGCCTTCCTCTCTCTCTTTCTCTCGCTTTCTACTCTATTTTGTGTCTTTTTTTTGTCAAGATTAAAGAGACCTTGTGTTTTTAATATGGACCCTGGAAAAATGAGCCTCTTGTTCTATTACAGTTAACACTGTTTTTTGCCTTTTTCTTCTTCCCTCCGCTTGCTCATAGAGAGCCTGTATCAATCACTCGTTGTCACTTCAGGGCCCCCCTGTGTTTTTTTTGGCTTTTCGCTCTTCGATATAGACGTTGGGGAACGATGTGTGGGTGGGTGAGGTTGGACATACAGATGTGTATTTTCTTATCTGTTTGTATGTTCGATGTTGTTGAGTATATGTGTCTTGTCTTTGTTTCGTATAGTCGCTTTACTATCAATGCTGTTCCGGTTTCTTTTGTACTACGACGAGGTCAACAATCCGTTTACCAATACGTAGGTAGGTACTAGTAGTAGATTCAACGAAATACGGACAGAAGGAGTACACCGTTTGGATCTGAAATGTCTATCTATTTATACATTTATTTATCTGAACGCTGTACATCTAATGACGAGGATGAACATCACATGCTAATAATTACATCAATCAGGCTATCAAACAGATCAATGATGATGACCTCAATATCACCGTTGCCGAATAATCATCGACAACATGCCGATCACCGCCGCACCAGCAGCAGCGCTTTGGAGAGCAACGGTGGAGAGATCTCGCTGCGTGAGCACGACTTGGCGATCACTGAAGAGATCGTGGAGATATTGGCGCAAGGATTCAATGAGGGGAGAGACGCGCGAGAGCTGGTATTGGATATACTCCCGAACATTGTCAGGGGTGGGTTTGCTGACTGTCGTATTGGCTGACGGTTCCGCATCAGCTGGGTCCGAACTGTATACCTCCGGTTCGGTGCTCTCGATCGCGACGATTGCATCGGTATCAGAGATCGGTTCGTCTGCGGTAGTAGAAGCGGACGGTTCGGTAGTTGTCTCAGCAGTCTCGGGGGCCGCAGTAGAGGCGGCAGGTGTAGTAGACGATTCCTGCGCCATCTGGCTCTGAGCAGACACGATCTGAATCCGATCAAGGGCCTTTTCCTTCTCAATGGCTTCAATGACCTTCTCTTCAAAGCCCTTGACGAGTCTCTTACGACGCCAGGGTTCCACAGCGATCTGGAAGATCAGGAAGAGAAGCACGTTGACACCCATCAAACCCCAGGTACCCCAGGTACTCATTTGACGGATCTTGTCCGACCAGACTTGCTCCTCGTGATACCGGGACAGGATGCTCTTGCTCAATTGTGCGGCAGCCTCTTCGGCCTCGTGTTCGGCCTGGCTCAAAGCCTCCTGTGCTTCGTGTTCGGCTACTTCGTTGGTGTGATCGTTGCGGTAGAGATGGGTGAATCGTTCCAGGTCTGTGGGGGACCAGGCATGTTTGCGTTGAAGAAGCTCGTTCACTTCGCGCTGAGAGGTCGATCGGTTGTTGATGGCAGCTGCGTAGGCATCTTTCGCTGCACGGACTTGGAGGCGGGCGTTGCGGAGTCGCTCCTCTGTTTACCCATGACGAAAGTTAGAAACGATACTCTAATGTCTATGTTATTGAATAAGAGCGTCACATACCTTGTGTATGAATCTCCTTCTTCAGCGTCTCAATCGCCGAATAGCCCGTAAGATCGTTCAATCGCTGGCCAGCCACGAAAATGTTGGATTGGAGGTTATCCATCACAACACTGAACCGCTTGGTAAATTGTGACCTGCGTTGCTCTATGTAGGATGGAAGCCCTCCATCTCTCCACCCCTTTCCATTGGACTCGCTCTTATCTTCTTGCTGCTGCTGCTGCTGCTGCTGCTGGCTCTGTGTACTTTCTCCCGCCTCCGCAGCAGCGGGAGGAGTCTGTTGCTGCCTCCCCGCATCGGCTTCTAGATTTGCGTTCCCTGCGGGAAGAGCTATGACTGGGCTTTCATCTTCCTTCGGCTGCTCAGCAGGCTTCCCATCTTTGAGGGGATCAGAGGAGTAAAGCGAGGACTGGGATCGGAATTGACATTGCAGGCAGATGGAGAAGTTCCGCGGTGCAGGGTAAAGAGAGTTCGGTCCAACGGCGGGCAGGAGCGGTCGTCGTACTGGGCGGGTTGTTCGGGTGAGGTTGAGGGTTGATTTGAAGGACTGCCTGAGCAGCAATGGCATAGACTGCATGGCCGTTGCTAAGGCCACTAGGACGTCGACCAGACAGACGCTGGGTTCGTTTGTTGTGCTGGATTATCGGGTGGATTTGAATGCTGCTCGGCGCCGGGAGAGAAGGCGGTCATGCGGAATCGCCGCGGTTCTGCACGGTTCTGGTGGGTATTTTAGTAGCGCAACGTTGGGGATGCTTTTGTTGGTTCCGACGAGACTATTTGATTCATGGTGGCATTATTAGAGATCTTTGGGGGTCTGTTTGATCTTTTGCTCTATGCTTTACATGGTGTATATCCTGTTCGCATGGTATTTTTATTGGTATCAGAGTGAGCTAAACAAACGTGAAACGACATTAACCGCCTGGTGTCCTAGTCCGCTGATACGAAAGAAAGTGGTAGAATGATGTAGGCAATACATGATTAACAACGTCATTATGCGTGATCGCAGAGTTAACTGCATAGAAAATCTCCAGCGATGGAAGCAACGGGGCAAGAAATGAGTAGGATGTGTATAGCGAGTGGACTCTCATGAAGCAATAACTCCGGGCACTGACCAACTCCTAGCGCACTAAATGCGAATGGAGCTGTCGGTCTTCCCTTGCTCTAAGGCATTCAGTCCTGCACTTTATGATCTCCCTTCACGGCCTCAGCATATGTAGGAGGTGGACGACTATCCGGGTGGTCCTGGCTGCTGCTGCCAGCTTGGGCTTGTTCATGAGGGTGATTCGGGGTAGGTTGCCGGTTCTGTGGCGGGGCGTTTGCTGCTTGGGGCTGTTGTGGCGGCATTGTACCATAGCCCCTCTGGGAGGGGTGCTGGATCGGTTGGTGGGAAACATAGTAATATGTTACGCGACCGTTCTCCGCATCGCCAGGAAGAGGCTCATAGCTAGGGTCATCATAATCTGGTTCGGGGTACTTGAGTATAATGTACCAGGCGTGTAATAGCCCGGGCACGTAGCCAAGGCAGCAGAGAGCAAGGTTGATGATGGAATCGGCCGTGCAAATGCCTACTTTGATCCACACTGAGCCAGTCAGTTAGTATGCGCCACCTCATAAATGCAGTGTGCGATGAGTACTTACCTGAAACTGGGGGGAAGAAAACCGCGAGAATTGCTAGAAAGATGTCTGAACCACACATGGCTGCAATGGTAGAATAGGTACTCTATTGATCAACCTCCTGACCATGCAAGTGTTCACTGTAAGATCTTGAGTTGGTATCCTACGATGTAGGAATTTAGTATAAGAGAAAGTACGCATAAACCTGAAGCGGCAGGTAGTTGGTGGGATGACGAACGATAAGGATGGATGGATGCCTGCCTGAGCCTCCAAGTCAGATGACGTCGTTAATATCACCTGACGGCACGGCTACTACTGTGATTCACCACATTCAGGAATCTCTTATCATTGTCTCGATGCGATAATGACGCTTCATATACTATATGTGTATATATTATGAACTCCTTTCATTGGACATAGATTCTTCTATGATGATTCGGAGATTGCTTCCTCCACGGCTAATACTACTGTGCATAGGCTGTTGGGGAGCCTGGCACCCGAGGCTGCTGGAGACGCGAAACTGGGGGAATCAGCGTTGGTATAGAACTTCTAAAGGATAACAAGACTAAATTATTCACGGATTTTTTTTATAGACGCATTCTATGCGACATAGCTTGGATCGCTTCGTCTTGGGACGGTAGTATGTCTCTTGAAAAAGCCTTGAGCAATCGAGGAATCTTCAATCTAGTACTAGTACTAGCAGCATCCAAGTCTGGCACATTTATATATAGTCGTACTAGTACTCTCTGTCGTTCGTTAAATTTCCCACCACAGTATTTCCGCACCAGTTGCTACTACTACTGACACTAACTGCCCAACCAGTATTCGTATCCTAATACTAGCCTTTCCTACTGCATTTTCTCCTCCATTTCGCCCCGGAAACATACTACTACTAGTTCCTGGCCTACAACATATTACTGTAGTTGCACTCCGACTGTCACAGGGATAGGGCTGAATATACTAAAAGTAGGAATATCAACAGATCTCATATGAACAAAGTAGTAAAATTGATACTAGATTGCTTACTCTGAGCGAAATAGATGATTCATCCTGGCCAGGTTTTCTTGTTACTTCTTTCTGTAAGTGTCTAGAAGCATTCCACAGAGCAGAACTTTATTTTCAAATGAGGCCAAGGGATCGAGCTGAGTATACCCGAGAATGTGATCAGTAGAAACCCAAAACGGAACCTTAGATATCGGTTGAGCAGCACGGACAATATTTTACACATCCATCAGCCACAGGATTGGTGCCACGATGTGTCAAGACCAAACAGGCGATGGACAAAATTGCTTCCTCGATCTCGGGTTATGTTGCCTCCAGGTGCCCGTAGTATCTGTCTCATTGGCTTCCTAGAATGATTTCCTGCAGGACTCATTGCAAGGATTAGGTGTTGTTTAAACATGTCTCCTTGCCAGAGAGCGGGATGTGATACAGATGCCATGATACATTCAGAGTTACGGAGAATATGTGGGGTAACTCAGAGCAGCCCGGTCGGCTTTCTTACATCCCTAAAGTCGGACATGACCGCGGAAAACCGAATGGGAGTCTCAGATCGACCTTAGGATGCATCTCGATAGGGGTCATAGTGGTCTCGCATCGAGCTCGACGACGGATAGTCGCAGAAGCAGCATGCCATATTCTGTGGTGAGCGAGCTCCTCGCCTCTGTTAGATGACCCTAGCATTGTTCGGAAAAGGGCGTATGCGTGACACGCAAGGGTGTATTATTATCAACGCTATTCTTTACTGGGGGCAAAACTATTCCGAATAATTGGTAGGTATTGCGACGCCATGTTGTACACCTAGTTATCGCGCCAGTTGTGTAGTTGTATGGCCATAGATATCGGACGCATCTGAATTAGTACATAAGCCTCCACCAAGCGTCCTATCTTTTGAGGTAGGGTCAAAAGGGATAATGATCCGAAGAACCACTCTGATGAAAGCTATGCAGCAATCTTTCATGGCCATTCGTATAGCAGAGCCAGGCGAGTGAGGCGACGATAGCGATCGGCCCAAAGTGGATGTAAGTAACATACTTACGGTACACCGACAAGTGCTCCGCGGATGGTGTCTCAGCTCTCAAGCTTACATCTCGACCACTTGAGAGTCGTCATCCTGGGACAATGCTTCAGCTGTGGAAATATCAGAAAAAATAATAGCAGATATTTGCCCAACCAGGCGGTTCCTAGTGTACCATAGAGTTGCACAATTTGGTTCTGCTCCCGTGTCGGCCAGGCCCACCTTAATTGCTGCTGCGGCTTTCCCTGGTTCCTTCTCCCACAAAAGGTTCAGGGTGCAGATTCAGGGTAGACAGTCATTAGTTGGCACATGTACTCCCTGACAGTGCTGGAAAACATGCCACTGCGAAGATGTATACAGCCTGAAACACTGCTCTGTGTTGGCTTAATCAAGGCTAACGGCAATGGATACACTTCATCCGAATAGTGGAGGCTGGGCCATTCGCTGTGTCCAGCATAGTCCGTGCCTCTGGCACCAACAGCCTCAAATCGGACGTGTGCCACGTCAGTCGATCACCGCCAGACATAGATAATCCCTAAGAACTGCTCCTATGCATCATAAATTCCTCGCGATGATCAGGGCAATAAAGTTTCCGGTTCCTGCATTGATTCTTCCTCTTCTTCTCTTCTTCCGCCTGCTTGTTCCTGAGCTTCCTTGCAAAGACGGCTGCACCCCCTGCAGGATCTCATTATTTGGTCTGACTCTACGCCAGGGAGTGGAAGAAAAGTCTGACCCTTTGTATCCTTGCTGCAAGCGACAAGGTATAGAGTTAGCCAGTGCCTGCAACGACAAAGTGAAACGCAAAAAGGTAAGTGTTTACTTTACGTCTGGAAAGTTTGATGGGTGTGATAATGAACCGAGTCGGGATCGGCTCTTGTACCTCAATTCCGGGTGCTGGTGGAGCTCCGACTCAAGATTTCATTTGATAACACCGAGTCTCGCAACAAGTGAACTAACTCGATCTGTAGGCGCAACTGAACCTTCATGCGGAGGGACTCAATCGCAGCGCATTGCAGTGGAGCAGTTTAATTGGAAAGACGCCGGCTACTCTTGCGAACCGCCCGCCCCGTCCCCCTTTTGAGTCAGTCTTCTCCAGTCGCGGCCCTTCTGGTGCTTCTGGTGCTTCTGCCCTTTTACCTTTTTCTGTTCATTGCCCTTCTTCCATTATTCAATATTGTTCCGTGAAGGAACTGACTTCTATCGGAGTCCAATCGCGCCGTCTTGCCGGTACTTTTCTAAAGTCTCTTCTTTTCGGGGGCCTCGAACCCAAGCGGCAATCACAACAAGCCCAGACTGGGAAAGCACGGCCTTCCTCCAGGTTCCTTGTCTAGCGCCTTCCTTTTCTGCCGTGGATCGACGCCTCTTTTCATTTCTCCTCCCGTGACTTTTCGATTATCCTGCGCTTTTCTCCCCGTCCTTTGACTTCGCCGTTGGGGTGCTTCCCGGCAACTGCTTGCTATAAACTCAACCAAGTCACTCGTTCATCCCCAGGTTCTGATCGCATCGGTGGAGTCCCTAGTGCTCGATTCAAGCATTCGTCTTCGCTGTCTCTACAATTCTATCTATCGCACCAATTTGGGACGCGTCGACAATTGAAACCCACTCGGATTAGAGATCATCGTTGCGCACACGCCCAATCGTTCATTCATTCGACCCCAAAGGTGATCGCGAAAGAAGGGAAAGAGCATGGAAACAACTGATTCACTCTCCTGCTGAATGTCCATATCCGATTTGTGATCTGCTCGTCATTGTTCTGCCCTACGATATCGATTTCCGCATCCAGAAGCACCTGGCAGCCGCCAGTGCGGTCCAACTATGTCCAGCACGTGTATCTCATTGTCGGGCTCGACACAATGCCCTGCTTTTGACAGTTCCTCTGTCTCGACGAATTCCAGTCTGTATACAGATTTGTATGTACAAGCGTCCGACATTGAAAAGTCATTGCGCTAATTGCTTCCCAGTCCCTTCATGCAATACGTGTCGAACCTCACGCAGTTCGACAATGAGTTGAGCAGCTATGTTATGCAGGGATATGTCAAGGAAAAGTAAGTACCTTATTCCGCAATGGCAAGGGACATGTCTGACTAAAGTACTATCTACTAGGTATGAGGAATACTTGGGCTGTCAGGGGGTAAACTTGACGGATACCGACGATTATTATGCCCGCTATACGACAAGTGTGTTATGTAGCAGCCTGGTACAAAGCTCAAAGAGTGATTGTAACCTATCCGATGAAGAGTCAAGACCGCTTTGCGCTAATACCTGCGTTCGTCAACGCCCTATCAAGTATTGGTTGCTTGGGAATCCTCACTAACTACAGTTAGGCATCGATGGCGATAAGTGAAGAGGCGATAGTTACGGATACCAACCTCTGCTCTGAAAAAGCAAGCGACTACATGTCTCAAATTCGGTCTGATTTTACGATCTGCGCCCTACCAGCCGATTCGCTTACGGTAACTTGCATCACGGGAGCTGAAAACGAACCGAAGAACTGCGGATATCGTTCAAATCTCTTGGGACTGTGTTCGTATTGCGCCTCAGGATCGTCAAATTCCACCGATTCGTGCTGTACAGACTCAAATGCTGCTACCCGGTGTTCGAATGTCACAGTTCCGTCTTCGACACTTCCACCGATATTCACCTCTACAGCGGCGTCCAACTCAACTGCAGGCTCCAATGACTTGTCTGGAGGGCAAATAGCGGGAATTGTTATAGGTTCTGTAGCCGGATTTGCCCTTCTCGCCGCATTAGCCGTGTTAGCATTGATTTATTGGCGACGCAGGCGACGGGCTGAGAATGATAGCTCACTAAATCAGCCCAACCCCCAGAGGAAGGGGTCACCGTCAATGCAGCAGGACCGAAGCCTGCATGAATTTGCTGCCATACCCGGCGGTCGAGTTGCCAGGATGTCCGCCTTGCGCGAAGTTTCCAGCTCATCTCCCGCCCGATCTCGGTATTCTGCTTTGTTCGGTGGCGGAAAGTACAGCGACACCTCAGAATCCGACCACGGTGCCAGCCCTGGAGCAATGTCGAAGAAGATTCCCCCCACGACAGGAAAACGCCATGGCTCTCTTTCCAGTAATTCAGCCTTGGCTGGTGCGGGGACTGATTCCTCCCCTCGTTCAGGAATCGGCGGCCAGTATTCCTCACCGGACGGACTGACCAGCGGCCAGTCGGAGCAATTATCTGCCTTTCAGGACTACTACTCGCAGGATGACATTCATCCGGGCGACAAGGTTGCCGTACTCTGGGCATACCAGCCTCGGGCAGGTGATGAGTTTGCGCTGGACCGCGGTGAAATGCTGAAAGTGATTGGCATTTGGGACGATGGGTGGGCTACTGGTATTCGAATTCCCGAAACGGCAGAGGATCACGATGCTCGACACCGCGAGCAACGAGATAGTGGTGTATCGAATGGCTCACGGCGGGCCGCTACATCTCCCGCTCCCGTCGGGGATATCAAGGCATTCCCTCTGGTCTGTGTATGCCTCCCACAACATTGGAGGAAGATCATCGATGGCGGACAAGCTGAAGACGACTAAAGAGAATTGGCAGAGCTATTTTTCTATCGGTCGATTCAACACATGCCACCAATAACGCCGGATTTTATGCCCCAGTGATGATCTTTCTTTCTGATATTGATTCCTTTTGCGCAATAGCTGGTTATAACGCTTAACCTCTCATTTTTTTTTTTTTTTTTTGCAACCAACCCTGTCTCAAACCTTTCTGACATGGACGATATCCTGAGACGATGTCATGCGTTTGTCATTTGCGCTTATTCTCTGTTGAATTCTTTGAGCTTCCATATACCCCATTCTCCTGCAACAATTTGTTGCCACTTCATGTATGATTTTTCGTTCCTTTGCTTCCCTTCATCTCTACATACGATTTTCCTCTTCTGTGCCCCTGTTCACACCCTGTACACACATTTCGTGGACAATGTGATGTTAGTTATTGGTGCGGCAGCGGGATTCTTATTTGTGGCTACCTATTCGCCATCGTGCAGGTTGAACGATGGCAAATTTTACGGTCTGGAAGTATAGATTATTCTTATACCGTGTTTTCATAGACGTTCTGAGTGGTTGAAAATGACTATAAAATGTAGCTGTTTTACGCATTCTGCATGGAACTGATAACGGAGTACGATGACCATACCCGGAACACATGAATGCGATGTATCCCTAACTGGAGCTAGGGTATAGGCAGAATATACACGCGTCCGACTTGGGCCATCAGGCACCATGAAACTCGTGATGATGACGGACAGGCCATGTGCATTGCCTATAATATATCAGGTTCATGCCCTGACGTGATACTGCTCGGCTAGCCGGGGCTAGTTCCATGGTTGGTAATCTATCAACGGCGGATTATTCCGGTGTAAAACAAGAATCGTCTGCCTAGAGGTACCAAGAATAGAAAAGGCCAACAGCAGACTGACAAAGGCAGGCAGGCGTCTATGAAATGCTAGCTAGCTAATCTAGCTGGTCGACATAAAATTACAGCTAGAGAGATCTCTCCCAAGATAGCAGGCCCCCACACTTAGAGCGACCGCCGAGGTATGGTTCGTAGATGCCTGGGTCACCCATCTATGCTCATGTACCAGGCACTGGCCCCAACACACCGTCATAGCCCGTGAACAATCGCCTGACATGCATCAGGGTGCAGGCAGGTGCATTACCAACAGTTGTGCGTATGGGGTGGTCACGCCTGCCTACACTAAATACTAGTAGACCTACCTCATAGTAAAGTCCAGGCTCATTTCGTCATAACCGCAGGATTCAGGGGGAAAATAAGTATGGGTGGGAAGGGGAAATAAGCGGCCGGTGGTGCGACGGGTGGGTCACGTGCTAGGCATCCCCCCCCACCGCCGCCGCCCGCCGCAGCAGCAACCCAGCAAAGCACAACTAAATGCCCCTCTATCTCCATCTCGGTTCCCATCCATCCTCCCCCGTTATATTCCTCTCTTACATCCCCTCATCCTGTCCCCGTTGCTCTTCCGCAGACCCCTTTAAAAAGCCATTTGAGCAGTTTCAACGGTGCTTGGTGCGTATGCCACTTGTCCATTTTAATTTGCCATATTTTCTCTTCAACCATTCTGCGATTATGACAAAGGACAAATAAGGGGGAATCCGGCCAACTAACATCGCGTGCATGCGCAGGTCATCCGTCTGTCAACTCGTCTTACCTCTTTTCCATTTTACCCCTTTATCCACATAAACAACCATGTCTGTGAGTAATATTCTTTCTGGTGCTTCCGGCTCAGGGCTAACCGTTTATTTTCCTCTCTTGTAGCTCGCATCTGGGTACGTTCCTGACTGCTTCTAATCCCCGCATGTGTCTTCGACCATCCCTACCGTATCGGAGAACTCGACGATGGCAACCCCGAACAAGGCTGACTAAGTTACGGAGGACAGTGTTTCTATCACCGATGAGTGCATCACCGCATTCAACGAGTTCCGCATGAGCGGCAACAGCAAGGGAAGCAAGACGAAGTTCATCATCTTCAAGATCGCCGACAACAAGAAGGAGGTCGTCATCGACGAAGTTTCCCAAGACGAGGACTATGAGGTCTTCCGTGAAAAGCTCGCGGCCGCCAAGGATGCTAAGGGCAACCCCGCTCCCCGTTATGCAGTTTACGACGTCGAGTACGACTTGGGCGGTGGTGAAGGCAAGAGGTATGATGATGGCAACGGCTTAACGTCCGTGCTAGGATATCTGCTCACTTTCTTCTCACCACAGGAGCAAGATCATCTTCATTTCCTGGGTTCCCAGCGACACCCCTACCCTCGTACGTTTCGCACCGTCTCAGCTGTTTAAGCCCCAATTTATTGCTGACACCGATGAAATAGTGGTCCATGATCTACGCCAGCACTCGCGAGAACTTGAAGAACGCCCTCAACATCCACACCTCTATCCACGCCGACGACAAGGGCGACATCGAGTGGAAGACCGTCCTGGCCGAGGCCAGCGGTGGTAAGGCTGGCAAATAAACAATGGCGCCGGCTGGGCCCGGGCCAGGTGACTTGGTTGTTGCAAATTGCAACACATCACTCTGACTCACTTTGCGGAGTACCTCGGAACGACCAACTTCTTCAGTTTCTCTGCACAAACTTAGTTAAATGAGAGATCGTTACGACTTGATTTCTTCTGATAGTGACCGTATCATCTTGCGATCGTGGCACTTTTCCTTTTTCCAATATGAACGAATATTGGGGAGGGGCTTTTTCTTTCTCTTTATCAGCGTTTGTCTGTACAGAATACTGTTACGTGCCATGATGTGTGAATACGCGATTCGATGTAGAGTAGAAACATCAGGTCACCCTGCACACAACGAACCCCCCAAAACTGTGCTTTCAGTCGAGTGCTTAGGTCTGGTATTCGTGTGAAGTAGGCCATCTCGACTATTGAGTGCTGAGAAGGAATGCCGGCCAGGTAGTATGAGTTGTAGGTACTAGTAGGTAGCACTTGGGTCTTGGATTGTTTAAAGGGCGGCTGGTCAGCGTTGACTAAATACAGGGAGGATAAGGCGCCGGGGATGAATGGGAAGGGACACCCTAGTAGACTAGACGGATTAGCCTTAAATTATACTAGTAGTATAACTATACCCTATAGGAGAATTCTGGTGCTGACGGGAATTGGGAACATCATCGTAAGATGTGTCTTGGGGGCAAAAGCCATGGCGGACGGTCGGGACGGGCAGCGGGTGTGGACCAATGAGGGCGGCGGTAAAACGGACTAAGCTAGCCTGTCCGGATACTCGACTTCCACCTCAAACCACAAGTCGAACGTCGTCTTCGTCTCCCATCGCGACTCTTGGTACCCCCCTCCACTCTACCCCAGGTATTTCCCATCTTGAATTCCGACGAATCGGCCCTCTCGCTGCTGGAGAGTTGCTTTTTGGCGATCAATTGATTCTAATACGCGCGCACACCCTTAGCACACAATGTTCCTTCGTTCCGTTACTCGCGCTGCTGCTCGCAGCTCGGCTGTGCCCACCACGGGCCTGCGCTCCTACCGCACCGTTTCGGGCCCAATGGCTTGCCTGAACGCTCGTCCTCAGACTGAGAAGAAGTCTATCGCTCCCCAGCAGACCCGCGCCGCTTCCGAGCATGCCATCTCGAATCCCACACTCGCCGGTATTGAGAAGCGCTGGGAGGCCATGCCCCCTCAGGAGCAGGCCGAGCTGTGGATGCAGCTGAGGGACCGCATGAAGGTCGACTGGCACCAGATGACTCTCCAGGAGAAGAAGGCCGGTATGCTGCTCTTTCTTGCCCCTTTCCGCTATCTTCCCCGCGTCCAGCAGAATTTTGCTAACATGGGTATTTTTTTCTTCTTCCCCACGATTTAGCCTACTGGATCTCCTTTGGACCCCACGGCCCTCGTTCTGTGCCCCCCAAGGGCGAGAACCTCAAGATCTTCCTCAAGGTCGCCCAGCTCACCCTTGTCAGCTTTGGTATCTTCTACATCATCCACATGTTCGCCAAGCCCCAGCCCAAGACCATGACCAAGGAGTGGCAGGAGGCCTCCAACGAGTATGCTAAGGTATGTGAAATCGACTATTTGCATTATTTACTTGCCAATTGGCACTGTCTTCACGGTGGAACGGTCGCTGATACGTATCATCACAACAGCAAGAGAACATCAACCCTATCTACGGCATCAGCTCCGTGGGTTACGAGGGCAAGGGCTTCGTCCAGAGCCCCCCTGCTGAGAAGCAATAGATTGCCCCCATCTCTCGGGAGGAACAGGTATAACGACGGGGTGTGCAGTGGCTGGGCAGTGTTGGGCTACAGGAATGAACTGCTGCCTCCCACCGCACGACCTTTGATGACGCCGGTTCTGTGCCCATCAATTTTGGACACGATCCTTCGTCTCTGTTCTACTTGTTTGTCAATGTTAGCCCAAAAAGACCTCTGTATCTCGTACTGTGCAATAATCAATCATCTCCTTTGTAGCCATAGAAAGATCAGACTGCAGGTTCTTTCGTGTTACTCCTGTAAATGCTGTAAAACATATGGGATAGAAAATTATAGAAGACCCTCTGTAGCGAGGTATAAACGCGTGCTACATCTTGTACTAATACTTCTATAGATAAAACTTACAATGTATACAGGGAAAATCCCACGATGATCACAGTATAGGTGATTACATACAAGATGACGTTACTTCGATATGCCCTGCTGGACAGGGCAAAGAAATGGGAAGGTTCGGAGCCACTGTTCGGTAGAGAGGCGGTAAGTCGGTGGTTCAAGTTAAACCGGAAAAGAGCTGTCACAGTTGAACTGCACAGTCTAATGCTCCCATAAGAATTAAGTACAGTAAATAACAACAATAATAACAATAAAAATAATATGATAAAAATAATCACAGTAGTGTATCTACTCCATGTTCAGGAATCAATGGGTGGTGGCTGGGTTGGTTGGTTGGATCCAAAAGTGAAAATGCACGGTCGCCCGGTTGTTTACCGTCGAGACACCGCAAAACCAAGCTGGGACCCCCGAAAGGGTAATCACGGGAACACGTCAGATTTTTTTTCGTTACAGCAGCGTTCGTCCGATATCGTCGGTCTGCCCTTCCGTTACAGCGAAAGAACAACTTGCCTTGTTGTAGGGAGAGGCCCCAACCCCCTCACGAAAGAAATGGCTTGAGCGCTTTTGCAGATGTGAGGGGAAAGGGAGGTATTTCTCGGAGTTGGTTGTAGGATGAATTTATGATTATAGAAATTCACCGTATATAAAGTTTTATTATTCTTATTGTTTATATTTTTATTTTATTTTACTTAATTATAGCTAGCTCTTTTTTATTTTTATATATATTTACCTAGGTATTAAAAGAAAAGAGAGAAGAAAAGGAAAGAACAGTAGTCTGTATTAGTATTATTTTGATGGGGTACCACCTTTCCTCCCAGTGCATCCGGGCGCCAAGACCATCCCCATTTGTGTGCGAATTTCCCCCTAACAACCAAACAGGGCAAGGTGGGAAAGCTCGAATTGCTCCCAGTATCGAATCAACGCCCCGACCGCCAGCATCACGGACATATGGGATTCATTAGATTCTGCAGAATGGACTGGTAAAGATGCGGTCGCCATAGGAGAACCTCCTAGTGAATGTCGGCGAGCTGAAAGCTGGTTACCATGCTGGCCAGCGCGTTGCTCGGTACATCACGGGATCGTCGGCAAAACCGCCCCGGAAAGGCTAAGCCGGACACATTCGCCCGTGTCCACCTCAACCTCAACCTCTTCCCTTCCTTTCCCTCTTTCTTCCCTCTCCCCATCCTCTCGTCCCTTTGACCTTTTCTATACCCCATTTCGCTCTTCAACACCATCAAGATGTTCAAGAGGTGTGTGACTATACTTCCCCGGATCCCTACTCCAACCTTCTACATTTTATGATAATTTTTTATCTACCTTTAAACCTTTTAAAGGCTTGCAACTAACCATTTCTTTCCCCCTTGTTACAGCGGTCTTGCCCGGACCTTCGGGAGGGCTGCTTTTGCCCGACCTACCTCCGTCGCCCGTCGCGCTTTCCAGCCTAAGACCAATGGCCTCCCTTCCCTGGCCCGTATGGCCAGCACTGAGGCCTCTTCCGTTGGAAAGATTCACCAGGTCATTGGTGCCGTCGTCGACGGTATGTGCCGGTCCCCCGTTCCAGAGAAAACCCTGCCGGCGGCTACGCGAAAATCTTTTCCGAGCCTCGATTCCATCCACAATCCCATCAAATTCGACTCAATGGCCATCAAATGAACACGATATCTGACTCTCGCCAACAGTGAAGTTCGACGGTGACAAGCTCCCTGCCATTCTCAACGCCATTGAGACCGAGAACGGTGGCCAGAAGCTCGTCCTTGAGGTTTCCGTATGTACACCAAAAAATTGAAGCTACAATGACATCAAGCTCTGATAGCTAACCCAATCTAGCAACACTTGGGTGAGAATGTCGTTCGTACCATTGCCATGGACGGTAAGCTTCCTCTCTCTCCCATGACCAGGAAAATAGAGATTTGCTTGGCAATATCAACCTCTTGTCATCGCTTTCTCTCTAACCTGGTCCTTCCACGTGTACTCGTCTCGCCGTGGCTAACATCAATGTTCCACAGGTACTGAGGGTCTGACCCGTGGTGCTGCCGCCCGTGACACCGGTGCTCCCATCACCATCCCCGTCGGTCCCGGCACCCTTGGCCGTATCCTTAACGTCACTGGTGACCCCATTGACGAGCGTGGTCCCGTCAAGGCCGACAAGTTCCGTCCCATTCACACTGAGGCTCCCGAGTTCGTCGAGCAGTCCACTGAGGCCGAGATTCTCGTCACTGGTATCAAGGTCGTCGATCTGCTTGCCCCCTACGCCCGTGGTGGTAAGATTGGTCTCTTCGGTGGTGCCGGTGTCGGTAAGACCGTCTTCATTCAGGAGCTGATTGTAAGTTGCCAATCCATCAAATGGAAATTTTTGTGAACCATAGAACTAACAAATGCTCTAGAACAACATCGCCAAGGCTCACGGTGGTTACTCCGTCTTCTGTGGTGTCGGTGAGCGTACTCGTGAGGGTAACGATCTGTACCACGAAATGCAGGAGACTGGTGTCATCCAGCTCGAGGGTGACTCCAAGGTCGCTCTGGTCTTCGGTCAGATGAACGAGCCCCCGGGTGCCCGTGCCCGTGTCGCCCTTACCGGTCTGACCATTGCCGAGTACTTCCGTGACGAGGAGGGTCAGGACGTGCTGCTCTTCATTGACAACATTTTCCGTTTCACCCAGGCCGGTTCTGAGGTGTCTGCCCTTCTGGGTCGTATCCCCTCTGCCGTCGGTTACCAGCCCACTCTGGCCGTCGACATGGGTGGTATGCAGGAGCGTATTACCACCACCACCAAGGGTTCCATTACCTCCGTCCAGGCCGTCTACGTCCCTGCTGACGATTTGACTGACCCTGCCCCCGCCACCACCTTCGCTCACTTGGACGCCACCACTGTCTTGTCCCGTGGTATCTCCGAGTTGGGTATCTACCCTGCCGTCGACCCTCTCGACTCCAAGTCCCGTATGCTCGACACCCGTATCGTCGGTGAGGAGCACTACAACACCGCCACCCGTGTCCAGCAGATGCTCCAGGAGTACAAGTCCCTCCAGGATATCATTGCCATTCTGGGTATGGACGAACTGTCTGAGGCTGACAAGCTCACCGTCGAGCGTGCCCGTAAGCTCCAGCGTTTCCTGTCCCAGCCCTTCACCGTCGCCCAGGTCTTCACTGGTATCGAGGGTAAGCTGGTCGACCTCAAGGACACCATCCGCAGTTTCAAGGCCATCATCAACGGTGAGGGTGACGACCTTCCTGAGGGTAAGTTAAAATCTCTTGATCTTCTAATTGTTGACCAACATGGATGCTAATTTGTTTTTCTACAGCTGCTTTCTACATGGTTGGTGACTTCGAGTCTGCCCGCGCCAAGGGTGAGAAGATCTTGGCCGAGCTCGAGAACAAGGCCTAAATGTAATATTGTTTTTAAGCGCCCTTTTCCTTTTTTGTTAGACATGGACTTCCTTTCTTCCATGTGCCGTTTTCTACCGATCCGTGTACAGTACTCGAATTGAGAAAAGGGAGTTGAAAGAATGGCGAGGTCCCCCCTATATAAAAGGATGAGAGCGCTCTTAACGTACACCTCTCTGAAAGTCTGGATGGAAACTTCCAGGCTTTGTGTTACACTACGTGCTCATGTAAGTAAGTTAAAATGACCACAGTCAGCCTGATACCCGCTGGGCTGGGACAATTGTACTCAATTTCCTTTGTTACTCCGGGAGACCGTGATATCTGCTTTGTAGACATTACTAGTATGTAGGGTGTAGTTTTGTATGATTCCGTACATTATCCCGTAACGTCCCTTCTAGGACACGTATCAACATCTCGTTGCCATAGCATCACCTTCTCACGTATACCTCGTAAATGTCTCGGCTGCATTGCAACTATCTCTCCACAAATATCATCGTCATGTTAATTTAGATCGTAGTATTCTGTTTCGCTCCGATTTCCATTGAATAGTTAGTAGCTGCTTCTAATATGACATATATATATACTACTATAGTATAATGATATATATATCACGGTAGGGCAAGCAAGGAACGTAGTAATAGACGGACAGGATCAACTTTCATAGCTTAGCATTAACTTAAGTACTAGTAAGTAGTAATGAACTGAATGAAACTAGTAAAACTGATGAGAGGGGTCGAGTTATGATTCGAGCAATAGTACTACTAAGTAGTAGTAGTACCAGCTAGGGAAGTACTAACTAGTCGTGGTGATACGGTCCTACCGATATTCCAATTGTGAGAGTGGGAGTGCTTGCTTAATGGTACTAGTTTATATACTATGGATATTATAAATGATTGAAATATCATGGTACAATATCGAAGGGAAAAATCACAGAATGGACATTAACAGACGCTATAGACTAACTCGAAACAGAACGATGAGTGGTGCATGTTTATTCACACATATCATCCCCTAGGAATTATGCTGCAAATGTCTGAATACACTGGCTTTAGCCGAGTGGGGATGTCAGGAGAACTACATGAGATCGACCTATAGGGTCTCTTCCAAGGCAAGAACCTATGATTTGACATAACTGTTAGCATATCATGGTCTAATAAATGGACTCGATTGCACATACCAGTGCTGTTCGCGTTGGGATATAGACCTGCAGATAATTGCTGCGGTTATTCCAAGGCAGGTCTGTTGTGAAGAAACGCGTCTCCTTGAGATTGCGGCCGAAGCCACCGAACTCCTTGTCATCGGTGTCAAGCACGATTCTGTAGGTTCCGGCTTGCTCAACGCCCACCCTGTAGTCTGTGAAGCTGTTTGTAGGATGAAAATTAAAGATCCAGAGGAGGCCTGCACGTTCAAAGACAAGGACCTTGTCACCCTCGTGCTTCAGGCTGATGTATGCTTGTGGGGAATGGAGCCAGCCGTATTTCTCTTCGGTTAGCTGCATGGCGCGGTCGAAGTCATTCAGGAACTTATAACGGAGAAGATGGTCTTCCGTTAGGTTCAGTTGGCGACGTGCGTACCAGAACGAGTTGTTATTACCGGCACGAGGGAAGTCGAGCCATTCGGGATGACCGAATTCGTTACCTTCAAAGTTGAGATAACCCTCGCCACCGAGAGCATGGGTAACCAGGCGGAGCATCTTGTGAAGAGCCATGCCTCTCTCAATGATAGGTGTAAATTCTGTCAACACGGACATGTGGGTGTACATCTCCTTGTCGCAGAGCCACATCATGATGGTTTTGTCGCCAACAAGTCTGCCATGTTTCAGCTGTGGTCAAGTGAGATAATGGAAAAATGAACTTACGCCTGATCATGGCTCTCCGCGTAGGCGATTGTCTTCTCCCCGTGACGTCGGTTGACCAACGTGAAAGAGAGGTTACCAATATCCCATTCACTGTCCGACTTCTCTTTCAGGAGCTTGATGTACATGTCTGGAATTGCCATGGCAAGTCGGTAGTCAAACCCAACACCCCCAAGGGCGTGTGGCAAGCACAGTGCGGGCATTCCAGACACATCCTCTGCCACAGTTATGCACTCGGGGTATAGACTGTGGAGCATTTCGTTGGCCAAGGTTAGGTACATCACGCCTTCGCCATCTACTGAACCGCCAAAGTATTCGTGATATCCGCCAGAAAATCCACTTTAGCCGAGTTAGTATTGCAACGAAAAGATATAGGAGTCTAATCACGTACGTTCCTATCCCGTGGTGGACATAAAGCATACTTGTAACACCATCAAAACGGAAGCCGTCAAACTTGTATTCTTCCATCCAGAAGCGGAGATTGCTCAGAAGGAACCTCAGAACCTCATGGCTGCCGTAGTTGAACAGACGACTGTCCCAAAGGTCATGCTGACCCTTCCCACCGGAGTGGAAGTAGAGATGGTCAGAGCCATCGAACATGTTGAGCCCGTCCAGGACATTCTTGGACGCATGGCTGTGAACGACGTCAAGAAGCACCACCAAGCCCATGCTATGTGCTGTATCTACTAGCTCTTTCAGGTCTTCCGGCGTACCATAGCGACTGCTAGCCGCGAAGAAGCTATTGACCTGGTACCCGAAGCTGGCGTAGTAGGCATGTTCCATAATGGCCATAAGTTGGATCGCATTGTATCCCAGATACTTGATGCGAGGTAGCATATTGGCAGTGAACTCTTTGTAAGTTGCTACCCTCGTTTCCGGCGAAGAGATACCCACATGGGCCTCATAGATACGAAGGCTTTCGGGCCTCTTTGGGCGAGAATGCTTGAATTGATAGCGCTCAGTAGCTGGAGGGTTCCAGAAGACCGACTCATATGTCGGAGAGACAGTAAGGTCTTGCACGACACGCTTGATCCAAGCAGGGATTCGGTAGATTCGTTCTCCTTCGGGAGTGACCATGGTTATCTGCGAAGCGCAGCGATGTTAAAAAGGAATACCTCCTGCTTAGTTGAATCTATGCACACTCACCTTGATTTTGCTGTCATGAGGGATCACCGGGATTCCATCTTTCGCAGGCAATGTAATCTCCCAGACACCGAAGCTATTCTTCGTCATCGGGTGGGCCGTGACATCCCAATTGTCTGCCAGTCTCAGTAATGTTTCACCGGCTGATATCCTCCGCATAGCTAGACGTACTAAAGTCCCCAACTAGCTCAGCCTCAACAGCATTAGGCGCCCATTCTCTGTAAGTGATGTCTCCATTGGCGTTGACATTGAGACCGTATCTCTCGTAGCCCTACCGCAAACGTCAAGTTAGTTGGTGCTGGTCATTTCAAACAACCCAGTTGAGTGGGGTCAATCATCTCGAACAACAGCAGCAGCAAGAAATGTCACTTACTCTGCTAAACTTGTCCAACCCGCCCTCAGTTTCATTAATCGTCTTGACCCAGCTCTCTACGTACTGGAACCTCTGCTTCAGAGCATCGCGGAAGGGCTCAAGCCAAGGGTCAAGCTGGATAACACCTATTGAAACAATTAGACGAAAGAAGAGACAACGACTCTTCAATCAAACCAACTGACCTGTACCATCTGGAGACGCCGATTGAAGGGCAGTTTGAGTTTCGGTAGAAGCCATGGAGAATGGATCGCCAGTGGCAAGAGATTAAGCTCTGGGGGAATGTGGACCGTAGGGGTAGAATAGATGATAGTACAACAAACACAAGAGGAATCTAGTTAACAGCGTCAAAACAAGGTGAGCTCTTGAAAAGAATAAAACAGGACGAGAGGTGGGGAATCCCAACCGATGGGAAAAGTAGTAGGAGGAGGAGGAGGTGGTGGTTGAGGCCATGCGGGGGAGAGTCGAGGCCAAAGCTCCTCTTTCTTCCCTGTTGGTTTGCTGGTTTGCTGCTGCTACCCTTCCCGCCGTGACATCACTGCAACACCCCTGCTTCTAGACCTGGTCTGCCCAGCCCCCCTCCTCCCTCCCCTCCTTCATTCTTTTCTCGTCGCGCGCTTACATTTCTCAACTTAGGATAACAATTTATCGAATCCATTGATATGAGATGCTGATTTACGGCCCATGTTTGTATACTACTAGATTTGAATGGTGTGTATATCCGTGGTTCACTGGGTTGTGATAACGCGACAGGAGGAAGCTGAGCTTTGACTTCAGGTACGGAAACAGGTACCCGCCCTGCGCAGCAACTCGGGGCTTAAGGGGTCTGAGGGCCGGTCAGATTACTCGCGATTCTTTGCGATAGCTACGGGTCACATAAATACGCAGTGCGACAATATGTTTACAATAAGGCCTAAAGCAACATCATTTGACGAGAAGATTAAAGTCACTATGTTACACAAAGCTTGCACAGCAGCTGTTGAGAATTGAGCTACATGCTAAGGTACTAAAATGCCCTCTACCATGAACTTCCACTCAGAATCAAGCTGTGGGATGCGCAGCCTCCAGCATAATCCGGATTATAGCAGGTCCGGCTTTACACGTAGCAGACCTCCTGTCCGCCCTGCTCGCCCTGCTCACCCTGTCCACTTTGCTCGCCCTGCTGGCCCTTCTGGCCGAATCCAGAAGCTCCGCTAGGGCCCTGGGGAGAGTTTCCAGCACCACTGGGGGCAGCAAAGCTGGGAACGGAGGTAGTGGAACCCTCCTGGGCACCCACAGCCGGGCTGGGGGCAACGGCAGCAGCGCTCGTAACAATGGCGGAAGTGGCAGCGGGGATGCTCTCGCTAGGGGCGACAGCGCTGGGCACAGAAGCAGCAACGGAAACGCTGCTGCTAGCGACAGTGGCATGGCTGGCAAGGGAAGAAGCAGCGGCAGTAGAAGCGCTGTCGGCCATCAGAGCACTGTAGGGAGTGGCACCCGGGTAGAAAGAGGTGGGGATGGTTGGGATGGGGATAGAAACAGTAGAGCCGAAGTCGGTGGTCAGATCGGCCGCCATGGAGGTGGCAGAGTAGCCCGAGGGAGCGGAGTCGACCGTGGAAGTGGTGGCCGAGTAGGAGACGTGGTCGTCGCTGTCCTGAAGGCAGAATCCGCTGCCATAGGCACTCTCACAAGAGTACCACTGAGAATCACCCTCCTCAGTCCACATGGCGAAGTCCTCAATGGTGATGTCGTAGCAAGGGGCACCATCAGCACAGACCACCTTGACAGGACCACGCTCAGCACCGTAAGCTTCGGTTCCCTTCCAGTTCTTGACAGTGATGTTGCTCAACTGGACACCATCGCCATCCACCGCGCTCATACTGGCCCAGTAGCTGTCAATATCTAGGGAGTAAGCGTTACCGTGGCCTGTTCACCGACAGGAAGAATTCTCGGTTAGTCTCATCGGGTGACACCTAATGTTGCGTAAGAAATTACTCACCAATGAAATTTTCGAGGAGGACATTCTCGATGAAGCCGCTACCTCCGTTGCTCTTAATCAACATCATGTTGTTCGAGTTCCAGGTGTAAATGTTGCGGTAAGTGATGTCGCTAACATTGGTATCAGAGCCAAACGAACCCATACCACAGCCACCACTCCAGTTGCAGTAGATGCTCTCAATAAGGATGTTCTTCGACGGACTCTATGATCGATTGTTAGTCCGAGACTTTCTGACTAGACACATATCGCCACGTATGGCCATACCTTGACAGTGACACACTCGTCCTTGTTCGTCACCTCGACCTGTTGAAATGGTTAACAACTGCATACATGCAGGCAACATTTTGCCCTTCAGTACTCACATCATGGACCCAGATGTTGTTACTCCAGACATCAATACCATCCAGACCACCGTGGTTACCGCCGCGGATTGCCATGTTGTAGATTTCGCCATTGGTGCAAGTGTCGAGAGAGAAGTGGAACGAGGGGGAGTCAACCAGGATGAAGTCGTGGACCGAGAAGTCTGTAACCTCATACAAACGCAGCAGACGAGGGCCGCTCCAGTTATCATCAGCATGGAACTCGTAGCCCAGACCCTGCATGGCACCTTCGGAGGTGCTACTGAAAAGTTCGAAGTCGCTGGAGTGTTCGATATAGATCATGTTGCCGCCGTCCGTGCCAGTACGGTAGATGATTCCATCGATCTGCAGAGCCCATGCCTCACCTCCGCTCAACCTCGCCCAGGTGGAGAGAGCATAGTCACCAGAGGGGACATAGACGAGACCACCAGACTTGCAGTCAGCAAAGGCAGATGCCAACGGCGCACCCAAGTCAGTAGACTTATCCGCCACAGCACCGTAGTCCAAAACGTTGCAAGTCTTGGTAGCTGCCTTGGTGGAGGCGGAAGTCAGCGGTCCCACGGAACCGGAGAGCTGCGCAGCAGCAAAGATGGGCGCCAGGCCCAGGAAAGAGAGAAAAGAGCGCTTGTCGAGAAGCATGGTGCTTGTCGAGCTTGAAAAATAAAAGGAATGTGAGGGTTACAAAAAAGAGTGAAAGGAAGTGAGTCTAAACACCCCCTAAAGAATGAACATTGAGATATCCAACGGACTATGCCCGCAGCAGGGGTTCCCAGGCGCTCTCTTTATAGGTAAAAGCTGTTCAAGCGCTTCTCTGACAGTAGTCTATTTCCCGCTGTCATCTTTCTATTTCTAGAACGTTTTGCCGGTGCCATACCGGCAACCTCTGACACGACAAGAGTGAACTAGACGAAGCTATCGATACTATTACTGGAATCTCCAAGCAATTTTGCTGGATGTGGAAGTAGTGGCACAATTCAAAACATCGAAAGAGCGGGATCGATGCGCTATCTCCCGGTTGAGACTTGCTCCATGCTTAGGGTGTTTGTTTTAGATAATTTGAATGGAGCATTGGCCCCGCCCATGGACTCAAATAGATTGAAAGGCTTAAGGAGGCATCCATACTGGACAGTTGACTCCTGATCGGACCATCGGGCAAGCCTTGAGAGAGCATCGTAAGCGGAAGATGCAAGAGTCCTTTGATGAACCTTACTGATAGCAGACGACTCAGCGTTTATTGTGCAATCAATATGCAGAAATCCTTTACCACTTGCTAGACAGAAAATCTCGAGCTTCCATAGGGATCGTTGAGAATTTCCCCTTCCCCTACTTTAACGGAGGGTGGAGCTTCAATCTGAAACGCCCGAGGTCAAGACTAGGCCGGTGGCCCATAGCACTGATCAGGGGATTGGGCGGAGACTTTCAATCGGAGCATAAGCTCTTAATCAGGGTCTGCCGTGCATGCTAAATCGCAATATACTCTAGATGATTTCCATTTGGCTTTCAAAGAGATATATTAAGCCAGCCCGTGTGATTGCTGGGGCCATTAGGCCCAATGCTATATAGTACAGGTGTAGCCTTGTGGTTATTGAAAGGAAATGGGGAGGATGCTAACCCTGCCGAGTGGTGGACTTGGCGCTAGTAAGCCCCATGCTTGCCGACCGGACTCAGTTGCCTCTTCGGAATGTCGCCGGCCACACTCTGCGGTTACAACTGAATCCTCCTCTCTCCAGTCCGGACCAGTGGCTATTACGATCGTGAATTAAGACGCTAAGAGACCAAGCACAGGAAGACAAATTGTTTTCACCGATTCATGAAGCTCTATGATTAAATATATAGCCATGTCTGCCCGCCCCGCAACAGCATTCGACAATACAGGGCGAAAATGAGTAGTAATATACAATGAGGTTCTCGTTGCTATTCATTGCCGGCATTCAAACCAGGCCGACTCCCCAGAAAAAGAGTATATGCAAACCTGATGTGAAGGACATCACTGCAGACCACCGTGACCGCGCACCTGAAAGTCCAACAATTAGCACTGGCTCCTTCGTCGGGTAACAACACAACTAAGAGCACTCACAATCTACAGGTTCTGACCGAGAGTCGCGACAACGCTGCCGACAGAAGTGCCAAGGGAGGGGAGGCCAAGGCCAGTGAGGAGAGAGGCGACGTCAGAAGACAGCTGAATGAGCAGGAAAGAGCCGTCCTGGCCGACGACGGTCAGGAGCTGCTCAACGGGAGTAGAGATGTCCTTGAGAAGGTCGCCGACGCTGCCGGCAGTCTTGATGATCTCACCAACGGGGGTTCCAACGCTGGGGAGGTTAAGATTGGAGAGGAGGGAGGCGACGGAGGGGCTGAGTTGGACGAGCAGGCGCTTGGAGTCGGGGCCGGTGACTTCGAGGACATCCTTGACCTTGGGAGCAAGGTCCTGAACGATCCCTTCATCGCCCGAGCGCTTGAGGTTCTCGCCAAGGGTGCCGACAATGGAGCCGACGGGGACACCAAGCTCCGGGAGTCCAAGGCCGCTGAGAAGACCAGTGACCACGGGGTCGAGCTGGATCAGAAGAGCCCTACCGTCCTTATCGACAACAGTGAGAAGGCCGTCGACGACATTGCCGACATCTTTGAGAAGGTCGGTCACGGACGCAGCGGTCTTGATAATGGAACCCACAGAGGATCCAAGGCCAGGCAGACCCAGGCCGGACAGGAGCTTGGCAACCTCGGGGCTGAGTTGGACGAGGAGCTTCTTGGCGTCAGCGCCAGTAACAGTCAGGACCTGGTTGACACCATTGCCAGCATCCTGAACAATGTGGCCGGTAGCCCCAGCACTAGCACTGGCACTGGGAGTGGAGATCACGTTGCTGGAGACGGAACCAATGTTCACAGTCTTGGTGACCTCGGAGACTCCAGGAACACCACCGGTAGGGGCGGCGAGGGCCGAGGTGGCCAGAGCAGCAATAAGAGTGATAAAGGAGGCCTTCATTGTGCTTGATGGTATTTGATAAAGGAGATTGGAAGGGAAAGAATAGACTTTGGTATGTTCTTGTGGGTTTTGGTAAAGAATGACAGTAGTGGGCTTTGGTAAAGAACGAATGATGTGCTGCTGATGAGAAGAAAGAGGAATACTCGAGACGAAGAAAGCTGGCTCTTATATCCCATCGTCGCTCAAGTGATCATCATTAATTCCTATCCTTTTGAGACCCTTAGCAGCTGGGACGTATAGCAACTAGCTGGCGGGTCAACTCTATGTGCTAGGATGTAATAGCACTTGTAAGGATAGCAAGGGCGTATGCGTGATGGATGCAGCGTTGCTGGGTTGTGGAGACAGCTACGAGCTTGGTCAACGTTCGATTGTCCCTTCAAGCCATGCAAACCGCATGGCGACGATCAGGCGTATACAGTAGGATCATGTGGGCTCCACTGTTGTTTTGTGGGCCTGCAGCTAAGCAGTTAAGATTTTGCTATTGGAATTGCCATGCCGTAGCTCGACTAACTGTCGCTATTTCCCGATGCCCGTCGAATGAATATCACCGGCAAGGCAGTGAGCCACACGAGCCGTGAACGTTGTCCGCCCAATCGGCAGCCACCCTGATCCGCTGATTGGCGTTGAAGGAGCATAAAGCCACCGGGACATTTATCGCCACTGCCATAAGGATCTGCAGCCTCATCTTACTAGTAGTGTTTACTTACTGTAACCCATGCATTGTTGTTAGCCTTCTATACTCAGTAATAGTACACACACTATTGGTACTCGCTCTCACTAACGATGTCGAATTGTGAGCACGTCATGTCTGAGACCATGTCGGGTCTCTGTCAATCCGTACCTCTCATGGAGCAGTAGTAAAGGGGAGTAAATTCAGAGGTAAGAAATTATATTGCTTTTTTTCTGCGTGCAATTGCTTTTTCCCATGAAGTACGACTATTTGCAGTCTATCTTGGTTAAGGTCGCAACGGCCATGCATATTTGCATGCATGCATGCAGGCGAGTCGGTGGCCAGCCAAGTGCAAACATGAATTCGACGCCGGGGATATGCAATCTTACCGCTAGTGAGATGCACCTGAATCCGACAATACTTTCATTTTTAGCCATCGAAATTTATTCGCTAAGGATTTCTCAAAGTGTCTTTGAGTGCCCCGCATACAACACATGGTGGGAATAGTATGTCTTACCTGGTAGTATACAATTGCGCAAGAACTGTGGCCTTTACCTCACAGAAGCTGCAGTAGGCTGTAGCACGCAGCTCATCCGAGCACGACCACTTTAGTAGAAGTTTCTTTTCAAATTGGCAATTGCATCTTGGGGGCGCAGATGATACTGCAACTGTACATGCATCCGTACCACCGATCGTGAAGTTGATTAACTTTACTAGTGGCTCGATTCTATAGGAATTTGAGTTTGCCCTCCCGCTGTAATGTTTTCTGGAAACGCATTTCATTTTTGAATCTTGCCGATAAACGCGAGATGGAGACATGTCGTGTGGGCTTCATACGTATTCTGTGGTGATGTATGGCTGCATGGAGTCAGGGACACGGTGGCTGGTGATGACGCGAACGCATAGTGCACTACTTAGAGTAGAATCGGATTCCGAACGCAGGGAGTGAACATAATTTGTCGAGTGCCGCACATGCAAGAAGCAGGTCGGAGTTGAGGATCTTGGTAACCAGCCTCAATTCGTCAATGTAGTCAGGGGAATGAGGGGAGGTCAACCGAGCGAGCTGCTTTGAAATGTTTCTTCCGGGTGATGATACCATTTAGTCCCTGGATAGGCTGGTTAGCCAGTCCACCACGTGGAACCCGTTCTTGAGATGGCGCAGACTCCTAAACAAGAGGGGTTTGCCACTCAGGTACACGGCGGGAAAATCCAACTGTGTGCCGTGATCAACAAGGTCTAAGGAGAAGTGACGGCCCATCTGGTGGAGGTTGGGCGATCGTTGTTTGGTTTCGCATGTCGCAACTTGCAAGGCCATAGGGAAGATACACAGATATTACGCTAGACGATACACCGGATACTTCCCCGTTGGTGGCAAGTTGGCGTAAGGAGAACGTTCCTGTGGGGCCCACTATTGTATGCATACTGTATTGCCGGGGAATAAGTCCCAGCTTCCCCCTTTTGGCAGGAACGTAGATAGACTGTATGCCTTCAGTTCAACTGTTGATGCAAATAGTCCTGGCCTTGATCCCTGGTACTCGCAGTACCTTATGGCACTCATCCACCTCAGTCGTGCCCAACCCACTTTCACGAGCACAAATGGCTCGTACCTCTTCCGTCTTGTCCCGCTACCTTTTGAGAACACAGTCATCGAAATAACGATCAACGCGATCGTCAACATGGGTTTACTGTTATTGCCTACTGACTGAGGGCCAGAAAAGCCTGTTTCGACGTCTAATGACCTATGGAGTACATCTCCAGCGGTTTCAGGTTTTACGGGGATGCACAGACACTACAACACCTCCCCCTTGATTATGGAGCCTCGAATATCCTCATCTCAGTAAATGTCCCCTGAGCTGCTATGGCTAAGAGCATGTCTAAGGTGGAGCCTTCCCGGATACTGGCGGATATGTTCATCGGTATCATTAAGTGGAATACATACAGGCTGAAGCGGAAACCTGTGCATGCGCGACTTTTCTCTAGGAAGCCGGGCTTGGTGGTAGCTCCCCCGTGAACCAGTCACTTGCGGTCGCTCCCAGCTCGAAGTCTAGTGTCCCTCCTTGGGCAAAGATGTCGTCCCATGTTAACCAGTTCTTCTTCCAGTCTTTTCCGTTCAAGCGAAGACTTTGCACATAGATATTACCGCCTCCGTTTCCATCACCGCCACTCGAAGTGACATTCAGTTTCTTACCACCCCCAAGGTCAATGACCAGCGAGTCAAACCATGGAGAGTGGATCAAAAATGTCGACTGCCCTGTCACAGGGTATAGCCCGATCATATTCCACAATATCCAAGTCTGCATAGCTCCAGCATCACTGTTGCCGGGGAGGCCGGATACGCCAGTACCATAATAGGATTTGGCAATATCACGCGATCGGAAGACAGACAAATCTTGCCGGTCGATATAGTGGTAAAGATAAGGGACGTTGAACATCCTGAATCAAGAATTCTGGTCAGCTATGTCCCCCGCAAGAAGACCAAGTCAGGCAAGGAACGGACTTACGGTTCGTTTGTGGGATCAAAGATAATACCGCTGGAACCGCTGGCTCCTTCAGTAAACATGGTGTTAAGCCGGTCGAGAACGGTTTGATTCCCGCCCATTCTATCAATCAACGTTTTCATGTCATGGATACTCGCCCAAGAATAGGCCCACGAACTGGCTTCGTAGTAAGGGTCTCCCCAATAGCCACTGTCATTCAGTGGATCAGTCTCGATGAAACCAGACTCATTGCGAGGAACGACAAATCCAGAGAATCCTAGCGATGTCTGGTTGGCATTCCAATGGTTTCTCCAGTTTCTGGAACGGTTCAGGTATTTCTCCGCATCGGCAGTCTTCCCAAGACCCGATGCTACCTGATATAACCCAAAGTCATTGCATGAATATTCCACTGCTCGCGTGACAGCACGGGTAAATCTGGGGGTGATGTAGCCCAAACTTAGCCAGTCTGGCAATGCGCCTCTGCCTTCTTTTGTCGAGGAATCGGGAGCTTGGGGATCGACTGGATCGTTGGGAGGCGTCACTTCTGCGTCTTTCACCATGGCCTTGTAACCATCTTCCCAATTTATCGCACCGCGCACGCCCTTGACATAGGCATCGGCCAGAATATTGTCCGCATTCGAGCCGCCCTGTGTACGACCATTGTAGTTAGAGGACCGCGCATCCGGCATATAGCCCTCGAATCGCCAGATATCAATAAGCGACCGGATCTGCTCCTCATATGCGGTGGGTTGCAACACCTGCATGAGAGCGGTAGAGCAGCGGAAAAGATCCTGCGAACCGAATGAGCGATACAGGTTCATTCTAGTTGTATGTCCGAAATACTTACCCAGTAAGTGAAGATGTCCTCATAGTAAGGTTCCTGGGATGTCCATTGGGGGTTTTCTCCGGTTTGGTTGGTGGGAAGCAGGTGCATGAAATAGAGAGAAGTATATAATAGCGTGAGCGTCGTGTCATTCGTGTTGGTTGTGGCGACTTTCGACAAAACTGTCGTTTCCCACTCGGACTGAGCGTCGTCCACGACCGACTGGAATTCCTTGTCTTCCGGTATCTCGTCTTCAACATTCTTACAGGCCTTCTCCGTGGAGATCCACGAGATGCCCACACGAGATGTAACTACAGAGTCTTTGAAGGTAAAGAGACCCCCAACTCGCGTTGAACCTGAAGAAGACGATGCGAAACCGCTACTTTGCTCGACGCTTCCGCCCGCATCGGTTCCAACATAGGTCTGGTTGCTGATGGGCGAGGCATCGAAATGGCCACCTGGGTAAAGTCAGCTAATTCTGCTGTGAAATGGCTTGGACTTTGACAAAAGCTTACAAAAGTAGATAGACCAATCGGGAGAACGGTTCCAGCCGTTGTCGTACACACCATGGCCCTCATAATGCCCGTCGGGAAAGATAGTGATATTACCACCTTTGTATCCCTGGCTGAGTCCCATTCCCCGATACGACGGTAGGACATGCGAAACGTCAACCAAGACATTACCATCCGAGCCACTCGGAAAAGTATATTGATAGATTCCTGCATGAGCGGTTGCGCTCAGCTCCACGACTGTTCCTTCGGCGGTCTTCGCCTTATAGTAGCCCACTGATGCCTCATCTGCACCTGAACGGCCGATAGTTATGTTGGACAGCGGATTGCTGATGTTCCCAATCAAAGGCAACTGGGAGACAGTGCCATACTTAGGCGCGCCTCCTGTGCCCTGCTCATGCATCATACTGAACCCCGAGAAATTGCCATTGGGCAAATACCCGGAATATGAGTCTGTTCCGGAGACATATAAATCGGGTCCTAGCTTCACCACCCCAAACGGACGAGCAACCCCGGGGAAATCATTGCCGCCACTTTGGGATCCCAAGCTTGTTCATGGTTAGGCTCGCGACTTTTAGAATCCAGCAGGTGTGCTGATGCATGACTGGGCCTCGATGTATCACTTACAATAAATCCACGTGAGAAGTCAGATTTGCAGCGCGGGCAGCTGGTTCAAGTAGACTCAATATCAGCATGGTGTACCAAATCGCCATGGCTAATCTGGCACAGCGGAACGCAGCTGAGAAACATATCGTCGAACCACCCATTTCGAAAGGATTTACAAAATATATATCCCAAAGCCAGTGGGTACGGTAAGTGGCGGTTCACAATGGGAACTCTCCGGTTGCTACTAGTGCTATCAACCCCGAGTTCCGGGTATCAAAAACGAGTGTGTGAGATCCCAGGTCCAGCGGGGATTCAAAGTGGTTTGTCGACAACAGTGACTGGACGGTTGAAGGGATGGATCACCTCTAGTGGTGAATCTTCAGCCCACTGGGCGCATAGGGATCCAGCACATGCCGTGATCACCGGTGGTGAGTAGGGACCGCTAGCCGCCAACGGCCAGGAAGCAAGGGTGGGATAGCCCCAGTTATGCACATCCATGGTCTGAAGCTTGATTGGTATCTATCTACCAAGCCCTGTCACACGGGGATCAGCACTCTCAAGTCCACATTTTCAAGCCCGCCTACGGTTACAGTGGCTACTTGTTACACAGCTAGACACATTCCAATCGTCTAGTGGTATGTCTCCTTTTGAGAAGTACTAGGCTCAGGGCATGGGGCAAGAAGAAAAAACCACATTCAGTAAGTGCAGCGCAGAACAAAGACATTATGTTGCATAATTGAATCTATCGTATCAGGTCGGAGTCAGATATAGGAGCGCAAGATTCAGCCGATGGACCTGTCCGGATGATGGAGCCCTCACGGTGAGTGACAGCCAGTCATGAGCCCCAATAGAGCACATGCCCCAAAGGTCATTCTTCACTAGGGCATCACCCAGCCCCGTCGTGCTGATCAAGCGGACCCGGACCACTTCTTGTTCATCGTCAGATAAGTTAGCACCTCTGTACAGAGTATGAGAGACTCTGAATCATGGTTGCAAGGCAGACCTGCAAAACTGTGCCTGGGCGCTTGATTTGTTGTTTGCTCCCTAGGCCCAATTATCGGGCAGATCATTTCAGCCAATGGATTCCCCACATGCCGCAGCGCTCAGGGGTCCATCTTTCGGCTGATATTATTGGCTGCTTCTAATAGCGGGTCATCTGGTGCCTTGATCTTATGTAATCTTGGCTTTCGCGCAGAATGGTCAGGTGATCATCTTGCTCCTTTCTACAGGGAAACTTTGCGAAGCTGCAGATGGAAGTGCGGTGAGACGAATGTCTATTTATAAGCCCTGCCTCATTTCAAGACTACTTGATTCACTATCTATGCTATACCTAGACAACAAACTTGAATAACTTTTCGAAGGATCCGAAGAGCATTGAGCCATTGAACATCATGACAGTCAACATGCGAACCTGGCGTATCTACCGCAGGGATCAGTCAATTTTGTGGGAGGACTAGTAGAATGAAGCTCCAGTACTAACCCCTTTGAAGTGCAGATCAGGAGAAAAGAGACATGCATTTCAAGCGATATCCTCAACATGCCCTTATTCGACTACCCTTAAGATAGGGGCCCTTGCTTAGTATCAACCTGGACCTAACATCAATGGAATCAGGATACATAGTAACAATGCCAAAATAATGCTTGCTCTACGTAGGCTTGCATAGTTTGGCCAGGACACTGCTATCTATAACCATGTCTTGTGTAACATAATGATGCTGTGGTGCAGGGCAGGGATAATGCACACTACCCCAACCTTTTACTCTTCATAGCTTCCAGTGTGAGAAGTTAGATGAAGCTTGAAGTGGCACGCAAGAACTGCAGGAGTTGGACAGATTTTGATTCATCTCGCAAATATTGCTCAAGCTTCTGAGCTGCACTTTGACAGTTTAGTCATCTTCTAGATAGGCGTAAGCCTTGACGGTCTGAGATAAGGACGATGCATTATAGTTTCTTTTTGTCACAGGACAGAAAGTACATGTGTCTTGACATTTATCTTATAGTAATGGGCCACGTGCGTTTGTGAATTGAAGTCGATGAAAGTCAGTTATTTTATGGTCCAATGCTAGATGATTGGGTGCGTGCGGATGGTATTCGAGAATTTATTGGCCTCTTGGGGACCACTATCTTGAATTTGCATGTATCATAATTTGAATAGCTACACTACTAATTTTTTCTTTTTGTTTGGAAATAGGAACAACTGTATCACTTTTTAAGACGTTTGCTTTGTGTGTGTTTCTTCCTTCTCTTATCTTCCTATTTCTTCTCCCAAGAAAACCTCCTGGACTATCTGGATAGATACAATCGAACCCTTTCCCGCGCTGTTGATCGATGTCTCGAGCAAATTCACGGTAAGAATGATGCATCTTATCGCAGGGCTGAGATGAAAATTTCCACTGATCTGTGCTTATAGCGCAGTTACTCTTCCCCATACCGGGCAAACGGACGAGATCAAGTCCATTCAAGTATACCATAAAGCAGCCTGTGGTCCGGGAAAGTAGCTAACCGGCAAATCGCACATCCGACGGCATGTCTCCGAGAACGAGGCAAGAGCAAGGCGGGCGACATCTCTTTCATAAGAGAGTATCTTATAATGTGCGTGGGCAGGTGAGAAAACATCAGCAAGGCGAAGCGTGAGACTGGCCTAGACCCGACAAGTGCGCTCAAGCCACAGTGTCCCGATACGGGCCCATTCTCGCCAGGTTCATGCCTAATGCTGGATGCCGAGCATGTTGAATCTTTTTCGAGGCTTATTTGTATGAATGATCACGTCTGCTCTGTGGTATAAAGCACTATGGGTTCTGAATAAACAGGCCGAAGCTTGACTTGCTATCCGATATTTGAAGAAACGCCACTCGACGCGCTTTTGCTTGGCACAACGAACTGAATCCTGGAACTGACTGATAAGTGAGCGCCTCCTTGCAGAAAAGAGGCGGTCGCGTGTATGATTCGCTTCTTCCGCGCAGTTTGCTATGTTCAATAAGATCACCATTATCCACTCACAGAGGGTGTTCAACACTAATACACACATCAGGTTATAGCAGCTAGCTGCAGTTGCACTAGTATCAGCCATCAATTTACTAACCTGGGGCACTATGCCGGAAGAACTGCAGCGGTGAGTCCCAAGGCACATGCGCTAGTAACGCCAGACTCAGGCCATCGAGTCCGACTCCCTCTCACTTCAAAGGCATCTGCGCGGCTGCTCGCTACATTATTCCCACGCTATATCGAGTCTCAACCCAATGAGGAAGCAATGATAAGATGCTCGATGCTTTGACTCACGGGATCGGCATCGGTCATTCGGGATATTTCAGCTTCTTCTCTGGCTCCGTCCAACAACATGGATGCATCCTTGTGAATGCTGCAACCTCGTCATCATGGATCAGATTAAGTCCGCACGTCATAGAGCAAATTTTTGCCATCACTCATGGCATGATAATCAGAGACTACTACTACCCCAACAAGCAGAGCTACCGCTGAATCTACCAGTCGCAGTCAAGTCGGTCTCTAGCGTAGTGCAGCAACGCTCCTCAGTGGACGGAAAAACCCGCCTAGCATCTCCGCACAATTTCTCCGGATGTATCCACCGTGGGCCACCAACTCACTCCCTTCCCCCGGAATTGCTGGATCCAGCTTAATGTGCGGGGAGAGATGGGGTTTGTCTCTGCGGGTGTGCGGGTATCATGGTCGCTGATGTTCGGGGTTGTTCCCTCGCCAGGGCCTATCGGGTTTCTGCTCGGCTCGACTGAATACTCTCTAGCATGCTCTTCAGCCTTCGGGATCTGTCCCTACACAGTTTAGTAAGATGGAGACGACTATGTTAAATATTCGTATGATCTCCGGGAAGTGAGACTTTCGGCCTCTCCCTTGGTTCTCTTTCTTTCCCTGGGAATGCCCTGTGCTGCTAGGATCAATTGTCAATTGCCTACCAGTCTTTGGACAATCCTCCCACAATGAGTCTCCTCAAGAACTATCGCGTTTACCTCCTCACAGCAGTGGCCTACTCGGGGTCACTTCTCTTCGGTATGCATACACTCGGGAATCAGATACGCTCTGTGAACTAACGCTTGATGACTACTAGGCTATGATACGGGTGTTATGGGAAGTGTTCTTTCACTGACCAGCTTTAAGGAAGATTTTGGAATACCGACTGGCTCTTCTGGCTTTGCTTCCTCCAAGAGCTCCGAAATCTCATCCAATGTCGTGTCCTTGCTGACCGCGGGCTGCTTCTTCGGCGCCATCTTCGCTGCCCCCCTTAACGAGCGCATTGGCCGACGCTATGCACTGATGATATTCACCGTCGTTTTTCTTATCGGAGCCGCTGTTCAAGTTGCTTCGAAGCATCACATTGGACAGATATATGGTGGCCGTGTCATAGCTGGCTTGGGAATTGGTGGCATGTCCAGTATCACGCCTGTGTTCGTGAGCGAGAACTGCCCCCCAAGCATTCGAGGCCGAGTTGCTGGGATGTTCCAGGAGTTTCTGGTCATTGGAAGCACCTTCGCCTATTGGCTGGATTACGGTGTCTCCCTGCACATTCCCTCAAGCACGAAGCAATGGCGTGTCCCCGTCGCTATCCAGCTGATTCCTGGCGGTCTTATGCTCCTCGGCCTTTTCTTCCTCAAAGAGTCTCCTCGCTGGCTGGCTGGTAAAGGACGACACGAAGAAGCTCTTCAGTCTCTCGCATACATCAGAAACGAGTCTCCTGATAGCGAAGTGATCCAGAAAGAGTTTGCTGAGATCCGAGCAGCCATCGATGAAGAGGTAGCAGCTACCGAGGGGCTGACATACAAGGAGTTCATCCAGCCGAGTAACCTCAAACGCTTCGGATTCGCCTTCACTCTCATGCTTTCACAACAATTTACGGGCACCAATTCAATCGGATACTACGCTCCTGAGATCTTCCAGACTGTCGGACTTAGCGCGACTAACTCGTCTCTTTTCGCTACTGGAGTCTACGGAACTGTGAAGGTTGTCGCGACGGCTATCTTCCTGTTCGTCGGTATCGACCGTTGGGGTCGGAAGCTCAGTCTGGTCGGCGGATCCATTTGGATGGCGAGCATGATGTTCATCATTGGCGCTGTATTGGCCACGCACCCTCCCGACACAAGCGCCGGTGGTGTCTCCCAGGCTTCTATCGCCATGGTAGTCATGATTTATCTCTACGTGATCGGCTATTCAGCTTCCTGGGGTCCTACCCCCTGGGTGTATGTGAGCGAGGTAAGAAAACCGTCACTGAACTCCTCGACACAAGATAACTAACAAGCCTGACAGATCTTCCCGACACGGCTACGTTCATACGGTGTCGGTCTGGCAGCCACATCCCAGTGGCTCTGGAGTTTCGTGGTCACTGAAATCACCCCCAAAGCCGTCCACAACATCGGCTGGCGGACTTTCCTCATGTTTGGTATCTTCTGTGTTGCCATGTGTGTCTTCGTCATCGTTTTCGCCAAGGAGACCAAGGGCCGCAGTCTCGAGGACATGGACATCCTCTTCGGCGCTGTCAACGAGGCGGACCGTCGTGCTGCGGTGGAACATACCATGCACAAGCGCGGCTCTTCCCACATCGAGGACGTAGATGAGGAGACTGAGCGTGTTCGCCATGAGCAGGACAAGGTCTAGCTGGGCTAGATCAGTCCTTGTATGAATGATATATGTAACCCGTCTCTGGGTATGACTGGATGGTTTTAAAGTTGGGCGAATCAGCATAGATCTAGATGTTAGATGGGGGCTTATAAATTGGTCTTCATAGATTCGGGCTTTGTTTTCACTAGGATCTCGAGATGATTCTAACACCGGCTGGACTGACGTTGTGTGATACTATGCATGTTTCCTTTTTTCATCCCTCCGCCCAATGAAATTGTTCTGGTACAACTGAGAAGATTCTACTTCCAGCCACGGTAGACCCAGCCACCTCCTGGTGTAGTAAGTACTACACAAGAATACTACTCAGTGTTGGACAGGCTAGGCCTATTCATCAGGACTAGCCCCCCGTATAAAGGGCAATCAGAAATTGCAAGTCACTGCGTCTCACCAGGATCCAAACCTGTAGACTACAACACAAACAAACTATCGATACCAAAGCGATATCAACTGGAGAACAATTTTATTGACCACAACCACCAACTCAATAAAGAGACTTCTGCTCAATAAAGTCTCAGACACCGTCAAACTCCACTAAATAGACCAACTCCATTCTCCAACCGAACCGGAAGAATTAGCATCAAGACCAAGTAAATAGTATCTAGTCCTAATGCCAATGTCTCCAATACTACAGTACCACACCACCGCTATTGACAGGCAATCGATTGAGTTTGTGAATAAGCCTTGCCGCTGCTTCAAATTGCTTTCTTTTTTACCCCATTTCTTCTTTTTTCTTTTTTCCGTTTTACCCTGAATACTTCCGGGATTGATGATGGAATGGTGCTATTCTTAGATGTGCTCGTGTTGGGCTGAGACATGGGGAGGTTATTGATGTCGTTGGCTCATTTTTGTCTGTTTCCTTATTTTTCTAATTTTCATTGGGTGGTTATATTTGACAGATTAAGGGGTGTAGTTGAATTGACGGGAGTTCAGCAGTTGATATGATACACAAATTAGGTTCTGAGAAGTGAGCAAGTCGATATACTAACTGAGTAGTGCAGATGTTAAACAAAGTTGGCAGAAATAAGCTAAAATAGAGTTACACCTGCCATACTACTATCTATGATGGTTAGTTAACTCAGCTTTGAGGCTGAGTTGACGGTCAATTATACCTTCCTTATCCATTTATTACTTCGCCTCTGTTTCAGTTGATTTTCGGTTGTGAGGCTTTCGATAGTACCTCGTCGTGGTGTCGAGTTGCGGTGAAGGATAGACCAGCTGGTGATACTTAAGGTCAGCGAGGGAGTGGTCAGAATACTTACTTACTCTTCGGTAAAGTCTTCGACAATTGACTTCCTGGTACATTATCCTGAGATCAGAATACATTGGCCAACCCTCAGCAATGTTGCTTGACTGGAGTTACTGGGTCTTTACGACCATATTCATGGTACATTGTCTCATGCTGGCGGACGCGGCTTCACATGGAGCAAAGGAGTGTCGGATCCCACGACTAGTTGAAGCAACAGCAGAGCAGCTTCAAGAGGGTCTTAAAAAAGGGTGCTTTGATAGTGTCGATTTGGTCAAGGTTGGTGACTTCTGCCCTATCATTTTGCCGGCGTGATGCTGACATTTACAGGCGTATACTGCTCGAATCAGTGAGATTGATGGGCGATTTGGTACAATCCTCGAGTTGAACCCCTATGCGCTGAGTATAGCGAAGCAGCTCGATCTTGAGAGGAATCAGAGGCATATCCGAGGGTAAATCGCTGTATCTGTAATGGTATTGGGTGGCTGGCTGACTGACTATTGTAGTCCGCTGCATGGCCTGCCAGTCTTGCTCAAAGACATGATCGGCACGAAAGATAATATGCAAACAGCAGGTATTATCCCTTTATTCTGATCGGATTCATCGCATTGACTGACGATATGCTAGCTGGCTCTTGGGCGCTTGTTGGAGCTAAGGTTCCTGCCGATTCAACTGTGGCGGCGAAGCTCAGGGAAAATGGTCTGGTCATCCTGGGCAAGACTAGCATGTCGGAATGGGCCAATTTTCGTTCGATGAACTCGTCAAATGGTTGGAATGCGCGACGCGGATATACATTCGGGGCATACTATCCTGACCAGGACCCGAATGGAAGTTCGAGTGGTAGTGCTGTTGCGATTGATCTGGGGCTCAGTACGTTTGCTCTGGGAACTGAGGTACGTCGGAAGGTACTTTCTTATGCATGGAATAGGTGCTGACTATGATAAATTAGACTAGTGGGAGTATACTGCTTCCAAGCGAAAGGAACAACATCGTCGGGATCAAGCCAACTGTTGGACTTACTTCACGCTACATGGTCATCCCTCTTAGCGAGCGCCAGGACACCATTGGACCCTTGGCTCGGACAGTTAAAGACGCAGCTATGTTGTTGCAAGCAATTGCTGGTCCAGATGAAAAGGATAATTATACCTTGGTTTCGCCATTTGCAGCAAATTTGCCCGACTACTTGGCAGCTTGCAAGCTGTCGGGTCTACAGGGCAAGCGTATTGGTATCCCTCGAAACGTCATCGATTACCTAGGCCCCGCAGGTGCTCCGATAGTTTCGGCATTCGAAAAAGCAGTCGCCGTAATAAGCGCTGCAGGTGCCATAGTCGTGGACAATGCGAACTTCACAGCGTACAATGACTTTTATGGCAGCCTGAAACCGGCCATGGTTGTAGCGGCTGACTTTTCGACGAACATCAAGAGCTATCTGAGGAATCTGGAGCAGAACCCAAACAGCCTCTATAGCCTTGAAGACATTAGGAGCTTCACCCAGCATAGCGCATTGGAAGATTACCCGTCGCGCGACACGGGGTTGTGGGATCAGACGATTGCTTTGGGCATGAACAACACATCTCCAAGTTTTTGGTCCTTGTATCAGCAAACCCTCTATTATGGAGGTGAAGGAGGAATCATAGGAGCGCTGTCCCGTGACAAACTCGACGCTGTCATTCTGCCCACTCTTGTGGGCTTCGATATCCCAGCTGTTGTTGGTACCCCAGGTATCACTGTTCCTCTGGGAGCATATCCAGACGGGACACCGGTGGAATACAACACTCGCGGTGATCTAATTCAGCGTGCCCCTGATATCCCTTTTGGCATCAGCTTCCTGGGTCAAAAATGGAAGTGAAAAAGAGCTGATAGGGATGGCATATGCATTCGAGCAACAGACACTGGTCCGTAATAAGCTCAAGCGATCTCTGAAGGTGGATAGCTAGGTAGAATGGGTCGTAGTCTTGATGTATGCGCAGTATATTACCTTAACTTGGCTTTGGGGTATGTAGTTTATTATTATATACATAGTTTTAATAAAGAGAGACTTTGGAAATGTCAAGGTGGAAGACGCAGTTCAGTGTCAAGGCGGCAGATATTGGCCTGACAATCCAGGTGTCAATGTGATAACCAGAAATGGTTTAGCCTCAGATAGGCTGATAAGATGGATGGAGAAAGTCTTCCGAGCGGGGTGCGCCTCCGTCAGGCATGCCGGAGCATACCTCAGACAGGGATTGCGGCTTCGAGATACCTAGACAGTCTCTGTCCATGAACGGACTCGAACAGACGTGCGCATCTTTGCGCACGCAGATTGCTGCTACTGAAGCCAAACTTGCCGACCTGAAGCGTGAGCTCGAAGTTGCAGAACAGGCTGCCGCGAGCCACAACAGCCCAAATGCAGCGGACACTGAAGGGGGATCTGAGAGGAGATGGCCCCTTCTAGACGAAGAGTATCGACGCTATGGAAGACAGATGATTGTGCCACAGCTAGGAATACAAGGTTCGTGAACTGTGCCCCTCCCCTGGATCCGGGGATTTAGGATTACTGACCAGTGCTTTCGCAACTCAGGGCAGCTGAAACTCCGGTCGGCGAAGGTGTTGATTGTAGGCGCTGGTGGACTGGGATGTCCGGCAGCTTTGTATCTTGCTGGAGCTGGCGTTGGTACGCTCGGACTTGTGGATGGAGATGCTGTGGAGTCGTCGAACCTTCACCGTCAGGTCTTACATCGGACTAGGAATATTGGGAAGCTGAAGGTGGATAGTGCTATTGAGTACTTGAAGGAGTGAGTTGATATCTGGGAATCAGTTACTATGTGTGGAGTATACTGACCATGGGCTGCTTATCCTAGGCTGAACCCTCACTCCAAATACATCGCTCACAGGGAACATCTTGCGCCTGAAGCTGCCCCAGAGATCTTCAGCAACTACGACCTGATTCTCGATTGCACGGATAATCCCGCGACTCGATATCTCATCTCGGATACTGCGGTGCTCCTGGGTAAACCACTGGTGTCGGCCTCTGCTCTGCGCACGGAAGGCCAACTCATGGTATTGAACAACCCTCCCCGACCTGCAGGCGACAAGACCGGAGGTCCTTGCTACCGCTGCGTGTTTCCGAAACCGCCTCCGGCGAATACTGTTACAAGCTGCGCGGATGGGGGTATCGTGGGCCCCGTGGTGGGAACAATGGGCGTTTTGCAGGCCCTAGAAGCAATCAAGGTCATCACAGCGGACGAAACAACTACACCCCCGCCGCCATCCTTGCACATCTTCTCCGCATATTCTACACCTCTCTTCCGCACGATCAAACTTCGCTCTCGTCGGCCAAATTGCGCGGTGTGCTCCGCTGAGGCCAGCGTCACGGTGGATACTGTCCGCTCTGGCTCTACCGACTACATCTTTTTCTGCGGTACCGCAGATCCAGAAAATTTGCTGTCACCCGAGGAGCGCATCACACCGCGCGAGTATCGTACGAGGCATCATGACAAGGAGGAAAAGGAGCCGACTATCATCGATGTCAGGGAGAAGGTCCAGTATGACATCTGTAGTCTGGACAATAGCATCAATATTCCGATATCCACGATTCTTGCTTCCTCGTCGAGCGCTATGAGTAACGGGGACTCGTCGGCCGATGGTGTGCCTGCATTACCTCCATGGGTGCCGGCGGACGTAGCGTCATCGCAGTCTACTGACCCCGTGTATGTGGTGTGTCGACTGGGCAATGACTCCCAGATTGCTGTTAAGAAGCTGAAGGAGCTGGGATTGGATCAAGGAGGGAAGAGGGTCGTGGTTGATATCCGGGGAGGATTTCGTGCTTGGAAAGAGCAGGTTGATCCTGAGTGGCCTGAGTACTAGATTTCGTAGTAGACTAGATGGTCGTACTGTATGTAAATAGTTGTCAATGGACGTGGTATATGAAATATCATTGCAATCTCTCTGTCAAATAGGTTATAACAAC